GCATAGCGATCAGTTCTTCTACTGGGGGCCAGGAATTGGTAGACTACCAGAAACTGCTCCAAGGCTGGTATTCGGAGCGAAAGCAACAACTCGACAAGTCCCTTTTATCCACTGTTGAGAATGGAGATTATGTCACGGAATCTAGCAACGCCAAGGTCTTCATACGTGACTGGTACCTCTGGCTCATTCAGCTCATCCCAAGCTGGAAACACTGGCTGCAGCTTGGAAATCGCCGCGATGGGATGATTCGGTACCAATGGCAGGAGGGAATGGGAATGGCGTTTTTGCCTAGACTTGGCGGCGGCAGAAACTTTCCCCAAGTCTATGCAGTTCGCATTACAAATACGCCACAAGATGAGCAGGTCTTCTTCACCGATGACATTATTTTCAGTCCCGAGAAGAAGGGCCTTTTTCAAGTAGTTGTGATACTACAACGCCTCAAGAACGCCGGCGAAATAGAGACGGCCCTACACGGCCTCCAAGGCATATCCAACGGAGCCCTGAGGGATGGCGAAGCCACAGTCTTCGTTGACAATACTCGGGCTGCTCCTTGTGATTTGGAGGGCCGGCACATCTACCGGGTTGCTACCGCTGCAGAATTCGCTGACAGCCCAGCCCTAATCGCAGGAAGGCCCGAGCCTAAGGGCTATGATCCCCATCGCATGTCAAAAGAAACTAACAACAATACGTTTGTTATTCTGCGCCCTGATCGATTTGTTTTCGCGGCCTGCAATACAAGATCTGACTTGATCCACGCTGCTCAGATGCTTCGCAAACTTGTTGCGGCTGGGACATTGTAGTATAGGAGTATACTTTTCTGCGTCAATAGTAGCTTCTGGTTTTTTTAAACATAACATCTTTAAATTGTAATAGCCCTAAGCCTTCAGCGCATAGAAGTGTAGAACCTTGACCTCTGTATAATTGTTATCTTTTTATCTCTTATACTTGCAAAGTTCTCTGTGCTAATTTAAGCTCTTAGCCATAAGTCTTAACTGCAAATAATATATCTAGCTTACAATACAGATATTATATCAAAATGCCGAATTAATTACTATAGTATAGAGCTAATATAAGGAAAACCTAAATTACAACTCTTTAAGTGGCCTTAAAGGTATATAAGGTAATACCTTTAATCCCTTAGCTAAGAAAGGTTAACTTAATATTATAAAAACCTTAGATTTTTAAGATAATAATTCTTATACTGAGAATAATATTTTTCTATTAAAATTACTAAATTAAATAAACCTTTATAATTATATATATAAATCTATAATTATATCTTTTATTAAATAATAATATAAGGCTATATATAAATTTATTTTTATATAAAATATAATTAGCTTAGTAATTAATTTCTTATTTAGTTGGTTTTTTTTAATTATAGAATTAAGACTTATATAACTACTTAAAATAAATTACTTATAGGGGTTGTTTAATTACCTAGTAATAAAAAAAGGCCTTATATAAGACCTTATATAAGTTAAAGAGATTAATTAAGAAAAAGAAAGAAAAGGCTATATAGCTAATTAGGGAAAATCAGGCCTAGATTATATCCCTAATTAATTTATAAATAGCAGTTTACAAAGGGTATAACTATTATAGAGGTTATAATACAGAGAAAGCTCTTATAACCTAATTATATAAGTTAATTAAAGGTAATATAAATTAAATATATTTAACTTCTAGGTAAGGCATATAGCTTTTAGATTTACTAATAAATACTAATATATAAGGAAATATTAACCTAATAAAGCTTTTATAATAATATATATATTAGTGCTGCTAGGGCTAAGAACAAGGTTAAAAAGAAGGTTTAGGGTAATTAGAAGATCGTAGCGGTATTGAGTTTATGACTTAGCCATAAGGTTAGCAAATACACTTCTGCTTTAACACAATGCTCTTATCCTTGCTTCCATAGTAAATGTACTAGAACGACCGTAGCTTATGCCTATACACTCTTAGTACCAGTCAGCCGGTGCTAATCGTGCGCTTAGCGAACTTGCAGCCCAGTTTTCAAACGCCATGTCACATCTCCAAAATAATGTAGTACGGGATTTAATACTGACAAGCAAGTGTGATGATGACTTGACAGTATCTAGAACTACACAAGGCCGCATCATAACCGTAGAAGCCCCGAGATTGCAATTGAAGTCGACCTGCCCCGGGTCTTCTCTTGTCACCGCTTCTAATCTAAGAATGCCTTTGGCACCTCAGGACCCCAGACCGCCAAGCTCTCATTGCCCGCGGGCAAATGTCCAATGGGCGTATCTTGGTTAACTAAATCCCCATCTGCATAGTGCTCAATCATGTTGCCCGTTGTGTCCCACCAGTAGTCAAAGATCTGGCTTCCCAAGATATGGCGACCGACGCCCCACACATTTTTGTATCCCTTCCCGGCAAGCCATTGATGACCCAGCTGCTGCGTATCGAAATCGTGAATCTCGAATGAGCAATGATGAACGTGCGATGTCTGGCCTTTGCTCAGGAAGATGGTATGATGATCTACATAGTCGTTGCCTCTATCAATGTGGGCGAATACAGCGACTTCCTGGTCGGCGCTGTTCTCACCTCGGACATAGAGCAGGTCGGTGGGTACAAAATTGAAGTTACGAGTATACCAGTCGAGCTGCTCGGTGAAGTTTCGTACGCAGAGGCCGTAGTGACCAAGCTGTTTCGTTATCCTCGTTAGCAGGATGCGCAGTCAAACTAAAGTGTGTGATGTTTGTGTTCAAACCTTGTGTACCGCAGCTGGCCCCTCATCAAAGCGCTGAAACCTTCTTCTGCGTGGCTTGTCGGCCTCGAAATTGACGATGAGCCTCTCAGGCATCTTGCCTGCTTTTGCTGGCTCCTGGCCATGGATAAAATTGATCGGAACCCCTTCTGGGTCGTAGGCGGTAACCATAGCGCCACCACCAGGGGCGTCATCGAGAGGCTGGATGGGGCCAGCTCCTTCTAGCTTTGAGGCCTTGACCAGATCATTGTACGTCTCCACCTCGAATGTCCCGCCGAGGAACTTCTTGGGTCCCTTCTGTGCATAGTAGACGTACTGGTCGACCCCATATCCCCGGAACCACACACAGTCTTCGGTCTCCTTTACAGCACGCATGCCAAAGTCGTGAAGAAACGTGCTGATGCCCTTTAGGTCGGGATGCTGGTATCGCATGTGTACCAGTCTGACGGTACGGATCTGCTGCGACAGATCAATGCCACGCTTGCGTCTCCACTCAGCGATGCTCTGTCCATTAGGACCGTTTGCTTCTGTATCTGGCACAGACGCCCCAGCATTACAGTTTGTGAGAGTCGAGCGCTTTAAAGCAATTGTTAGCGCGTGTGGCTGCCTGACAGAAGGTGGAAGCATACGTACACCGTTCATTGTAAGTTGTACAGTATCTCTATAAAAACCTCCGACCTGTGATTTTTTTTTCGAATAGGGGCCGTGACTTTGCTGAGCCAGGTAGGTGATATAACCGGATTCATTCACTGCATATTATAGCCATCTACGGCGCGCAATCGTGGAGCAGCCACCGCGATATGTTCCCCACAAAGTTTGCGGGACTCTTCATCTTCATTTGCGGGGCGGTTCCACTACCACTTTCAACTCTCCACCGTATCCCCGCAATGGGCTCAAGCCGCTATCGTTAGATGCGTGAACGTTGAAGATAACCGTCTTGCGTGTACACTGTCTCGTGGCTTCTCACATGCTTTCATCAAGGGCGCGGGTAGATAACCTGAGCGACAGTAGTTATGAACATGGGCTCGAGTGTTTTAGGAACGCAGGTGCTTGTCAAGTCTGGCCCAGAGAATTACAGGTGAAGAGTGGCTGCGCTGAATCACGAACGTCGGTCCAACCTTATTGTCATTAAGCTCATCCTAGAAGATAACCATCTCAATTACGTGTTTGTTCATCTCACTTTGAGGTGCAAACGCGACATCAATAATACCCGTTTCTCGGTTCAGATTATATCCAGGGTAGTATTCGTGGCGTTTGAGGGGCTGTGGGGAAGCGGGCATGTTCCTCCGTATATACATGTATTTTTCGTCCAGGGGTGCTATTACCCGTTGGCTTGAGTCGGGGGGAGGCCAACTAAGCAAGCTTAGTTGGGCCTAAAAAGGTGGGACGTCACAAAATGTATGTTGGGACAACCTCCGCCGGCTATTGCAAGTTTTATTAATTTTATGTATAATTTTAATATAAATCTAGACGCCAATTAGTAAAAAAAATAACATATTTATCCAAGTGTATTATACTATCAGACCCTAACCTCAAGGCTGCTTATGCAGTGGTTATTTTATATTAATAACTCTAAAACGGCCTTTTATAAGGATTATCCTAAGCTTAATATATCTGTATTAAAGGCAAAGTGTTATAATTCATGCCTGTCGCAGCACTGTAAGGCTTTTACAAGGCAGCTGTAGTATGTCTATAATTGCCTGCATAGCAATTATGGCCTGATCTTTCGCCCTGTAGTTTAACAGCTTGTATAACTATTATAAAAGGAAATGGCCTACTTTAAATATAAAGCTATAGGCATAAAGGAGATAAAGCAGTGATTTAAACTTTAATAGTTAGGATTTTAAACAGGAAAACTACACTATACTAGGTTCATGTTTATAGATAGCATAGGGCGTTATACTAAGTAAGTTAGTTATTATATCTTTTTATAATTAAGTGACATATATTAGGCTTATTAATATAAAGAAATCTTATTAATAGCTAGTGAGCTAGGTTTTATAAAAGTGCTAATGAATGTGATCTATATAGTAGTGACAGTAGATGGTGATTAATAGTAATCGTGGTGGATTAGTACTAATTGCAACGGATTAGTTATATTTGTATAGTCTTGGTGCTGATCCGGTTCCATGCAGCATGCGATGATATGAGGAAAATGCGATGTACACGTGACGGAACCACTGGGGCCGTAACAGTTTCCTGAAGTTAGAAATAATATCAGCTCCAGCCTTCTAGCTGTCTTTTAGTTATATGTACTCACAGTTGAAACTTAGTCAGATCGGGCACTCTTTGTCTTCTTGCTCCTCAATTTCATCATCAAAAACACAAGAGCGTAGGAGGAGATGCAGAAGAGCGCAGTAATGCCAGTCTGACAAACCGTTAGTCCCATATCGATATCCGAGAAAGCTTCTCACTTACATCTCTCCAGCCATAGAATTCTTCTCGAAGATTGAAGGTCTTTGCATAGTCTGCTCCTGTTGAATAGGCACAGTAGTCGCAAGCCCCAGTGGCATTGGGATACGCCACGTAACCGGCATTCGAATGTAGGAACTCAGCCATGTACTCTCCGCAAGTGTGGCCGTCTGGAGCTTGGAAGGAAGTAAACTCCTCGGGACGACATTTGACTTCTACGTCCCAGATGATAGGGCCCATCAGGCCACCAAAGAGATAGTGGAATGGGTCAAGATAGTAAAGCCAGTACTTCCAGAAGGCTTGCATCGCGCCGTACGGGACTACGACACCGCAGAACGAGATCATTCCAGCTCCGATGAGCAGCGGGTTCATAATCGCTGCAAAGTACTCGTTTGGCGCGTATGCAGCAATGGCCTGCCCAATGGAGGTATACAAGAACTCGTAGACTGTGGAGCCGAGTCAGCACATGTAACTCTCACGACTCGGCAACTGTAGACTTACAGATCATCTGGAGATAAACATGTCCTGAGACTTTCGCCTCGACTGGGAAACCGGCAGTAAAGTACCAACAGACAAAGTAAAGAGTCGCGCAAATGATCAAATATGGAATCTCAGCAACAGTCTGCGATCCGATAAAAGCAACCCAGTGATACGTTTTCGACTGGGAAGCGTTAGTAAGTGGTCAAGCCAAAAGGGTGTAGCAACCCACCTTCTTCTCTCGAGTCTCAAACAGATCTCGATTGTGCAAGAAATACGGCTGCATCTGGTTGATACAGCCTGGAGCCACAAAAATGAAGTTGGATATGGCGAAGAGTCTCAGCTGAAGGTCGAACGTGCCATCTCCAATCATCCAGAAAGTAAATCCGCTGAAGAGTGCAGCAAAAATGTGCAAGTTGATCTTGTTCCACACGTAGTCCTGCCAAATAATTAGTATGTCTTTCATAAGATTGTGGCTTACCGAGTACTTGCCGGAGATCGCCAGAGCTGAATCATCTGTCTGTTGAGGACAGTCTTCCACTGGAACCATTTAGATGTGGCGAAGCTGGCGGTGTCCTCCAGTTCGTCTCGAGTCCTTGACAGAGCTTCTTGGTTCAACTTCTCAAGCTTCTCCAAAGCTTTCTCGCGCTCGATAGATCGGTTCCATACATCGACCCAGTCAACGTCGACTTCGCCCTTACCCTGGATAACCTCGACGATGTGTTCGGCAGGATTCGCACCTTCTGGGCAAGGGGCACCATTCCTGGCAAAGTAGCTGAGAAGTGTCTTGGAATATTGTCCAGCTGAAGATTGTGAGAAAAACTGCATAGAGTCGTGAATTGAAACTTACTTTCGCCAAAGTACGCCATGTGCCCACCCTTGGCCAAGAGCAATAGAGAGTCAAACGCATCGAAGAGCACTGCGGAAGGTTGATGAATCGTACACAAGACAGCTTGGCCGCCGTCGACAAGACGTCGCATGAAACGAACGATATTGAAAGCAGACTGGCCGTCCAAGCCTGACGTAGGCTCATCAAGGAAAAGTAAAGTCGGCTTGGCGACCAACTCGACACCAAGCGTGACGCGCTTACGCTGCTCGATGCTAAGGCCGGCGCCAGGGGCTGGTTCCTCAATCAGTGCTGCAACTAGGTCGGAGGGGATAGGCAATACTCACTTCCAATAAGGGCATCACAGATATCCTGAAGCTCCAACAGTTCGATGATGTGGTCAACATAGGCAATTTTCTCCTCGTGCGGAATATCTCTCGGTTGCCGCAAGACAGCTGAGAAGATGAGAGCTTCCTTAACTGTTGAAGTAGCCTCATGAACGTCCATTTGTTCGCAATAGCCAGTCATTCTCTGGAAGGAAATCCCTTGAGGCTTTCCATCAATGAGAATTGAACCGCGAATTTCTCCTGCATCTTTGCGTTGAGCGAGGACATCTAGGAGGCTGTTCAAGGAAGTTGATTAGCGAGCGAATAGGGTGTGGCCAGAGATTGCCTTACGTCGTCTTCCCTGCACCAGAGCAGCCCATCAAAGCAACAAGGTTTCCTGGCTGGACAAATCCAAACACCTGATTCAGAAGCTGCTTCTGCGCACCCTGATACTGAACAAAGTAGTCCAGGTTATGCCAAGAAAAGGTTGATGCGCATATTGAGAAGGCATTTGCAGAGGCCGTTCCGTGTTCCGACCGGCTTCCTTTTCGGGGTCCGAACTCTTCTTGGTCCGTAGCCCTCTCTTGTAAAGCAGAACAGACGATCCTCCGTGGCTGTTCCGTAGCTCAAAGCCGAGAGCCGTAAGACCGATGAGGAAAATCCAAAAGCCAATCAAGACGCCAAATCCACGCCAGGTATGTCCAACCGCATAGTCGTACTGCTGTTGAACGTATGCGACACCATCAATCATGCCAGACCCATCGCTACCGGCAACAGTGCAGCCTCTAAAGTCCCGATTCTGACTGTCGTACCCAGCACCAAAGGGAATATACTGTGGAGCGATACACTCGAGCTTGAGGCCCTGGAATTCGTTCGTCATCAAGGACTCGAATGCGTAGGCAGCTGGGTTGAGATAGAAAATCCAGCGGAACCAGGGGTGCATCTTGCCGAATGGGATCAGATAACCTTGGGTAGCGGTTAGAATCGAGGAGTCAACAAACAAACAAGATTAGGGACATGAGAGATACCTGCGTAGACGAAGAGTATCGTGGACAATAGTCCGGAGATATAGCTCGCAAGACCGAAATGGTTGAACATGGCTCCGACCGCACGGAACAGCTGGAGGAAACAGAGAGTGCTTGCGTTCACTACAATCCAGCAAGTGAAGAACTTGCCCGCGTCGACTTGAAGCCCACTCATGAAGTAGAGAATTAACGTGAAGCACGTAACCTGTAGCATAACAATAGGGATATCTGTGATGGCGTTGGCGATACAACAGGCCGTAGGTCGATAGAACCCAAATCGCTTGTGGCGCACCAAGATAGGGCGGCCCATGAACGAGGCTGTCGTCTCTGACATAGTCTCCAATAAGAAGTAGAGGATGGGGAAGAATAGAGCACCGGGCCGGAGAAAGATGGACTCGCTCGTCAGCGGGAGATTGTAGAACAAGCTGCCGCAGACGAGAGCTTGGATGATGGCGGAAACGACCTTGATGACAAGAGACATGCGGTCGCCCATCATGGTTTGCCATTGGCTGCAAGGATCAGCACTCTTCGAATTACTAAGATGGAAAGGGGACGTACCGCTGGGTGCAGTTGATGATTTGCTCGCGAAGGCCGGCAGTATAAACACCTCTCTTGCCAAGTCTCCATTTCCGCTGTCGCTTCTCTCGCTCAACTGCCATCTTCAAATCTTCAACTTGATCGCCCAGGTTCTCTGGTTGTTGAATGAGCTGTCTCATCAAGCGACAAATTTCACTTCTCTTGTAAACAGTCTCAAACTCTTCAGGGGTATTCGGAACCCGAGTTTCAAATCCGGGAGCAATCTGTCTCTCCGTGTTGACGGTAACAGATGTGAGGAAGTCGGCAATGTTGGCGCCACGAGGACAAACGAAGCCCATGTCCTCGAAGTACGACTTGGCGGCGGTGCGGAGGCCGTAGTAGATGACACGTCCTTCGGCCAGCACAATAACCTTGTCAAAGGCATCGAAGATGCCGTTTCCGGCTTGATAGGTTGTTAAAACCACAGACTTGCCGTTTGTATTGACGTCTCGTCGCAAAGTCTCCACAAACTCCAGAGCCGTCTTGGAATCGAGGCCTCGAGTTGGCTGATCCCAGAACTGCAAGGGACTCTACGGTGAGCATCAGCATCAACTCTATCCTTCAGAATTTGCATGTACACACCTGGGTGGCCATAACTTCAGCTAGGGATACTCTCTTCCTCTCTCCGCCAGATACACCACGGATGAACTCATTGCCGACGAGCGTATTTTGCGTGTGGCCAATGCCTAGAGAGTCAAGTATCTTGTTTCGCATGTCCTGGACGAAATCGCCCTTCTTTCCGACATGTTCAGGTCTCTCTCGAGGCATTTTGTTCTGGAGAGCAAACTTCATGGTCTCGTTGACGGTCAGGGTTGGGAAGTGGATGTCATCTAACAAGCTTGTCAGCAACATTCAGGTCTTGAACAGGGACATGGCTTCCGAACCTTCAGTGTTGAAAACGATCTGCTGTCGAAACTTTCTTGCTTGAATATGATTCATGCTTCCGTATCTCGTCTCGCCCTCAACCTCTTGGAAGGCCTCTCGTTCGTTAGAAAGCACACGAAGTAGGGATGTGCAACCTGAGCCTGGTCGACCAAGCACCAGAAGCTGATTGAATTGTATGAGCAAGATTCACGAATTTGGATGGGGACATATTCACCATTTCGCCAGGGTTCACTTGACCAGAAACATCGTGTAGGATAGTCTAGCACAGCTTAGCAAATGACACCGAGTTAGTGTGGCCGATTGAGAACTGCTTACTCTCTTCGGCCGATGTGTTCTCTTGAACAAACCACCCAATTGACGAGGATCAACCCAGGACCAAAGAGTCTCACCCAATGCTTCATCAGGAGCCGTAACGCGTACGATAACATTTTGAAACGTTAATGTTAAGCGTTTCTGAATGAAATCCTTGCCTTTCTCCTCGTCAACGTTCTCGACGTCTACATTAGTATCACTCGAGGTTCCAGAGTGAGCTTCCTGGTTATGAACGAAGGACTGATTCGGGCTGTCGGGGCGAGTGCCATTATTGTTCGGAGTATCTGCCATGTTGACCGTTGGTCTGCTTGAAGGCCACTGTCGTTCTGCGGTCAATTGTATCTTCTGTCGCGATATTTTGAGCGGTCTAGATCACCATTAAGCTCCTTGAGGTTTGATTGCAAAGAAATCCATCCTTATTCAATTCTAGATTCCATGGTATATATTACTTTTAAGCCCGGTAACAATTAGCCTCCATCCCTGCAAACCCATTTTTCCATGCCTCCGCATTTCCGTGTTACCGTATTTCCAGAAGAACCAGAACTACCAAGCCACGACCCATATTTCCGTGTTTCCGTATTTCCAGAAGCACCGGAATGCTATCAAGCCACGACCCCATCGAGTCTCCACGACCGACCTGTAGCAACCACCCTTTACACGTAAAAAAAAAACAATTTAGGACAGAAATTTTACAAGGTCCGTCATCTCCCGGCTAATCCCGGAACGGATGTGTTATCCTGTCTTTATTTTTAAGTCCGGACGGTCTGTGATCCGAAGCAACAAGACCGACAGCCCCACCGTGATCGTGAATAAGATCCGCCTGACGGCATTAGGGAGCAAAATTGAAGGCGTTAGTCCGATCAAGAGATAAGAAAGCTTCCATGTTCATGGTGCCAAAGGCGATGTCCCACCCGACGTCGGCAGCTGTGAAATCTGCCAATTCTTCCGATCCTACACCCAAGAGAGAGGCTCCATTCGGCTGCCCAGTGACATCAAAGCCGAACGGCATTGAAGGGAAAGTGAATGTCGGCTCCTCTCCGATCCCGCTAGCGTGCGGCATGAACGGGGAGCCTGGCAATGTTGAGTCTAAGGGTTGTTGAGCCTGAGCTTGCCGAACATCCGGATCCACATCGTCCCTCAGCTCGAAAGACGGAAATACGGAGCGGACCATTTGCTCGATTGAAGCAATTGTAGTTGGTAGTTGGCCAGCATTGGCCCCAGCCTTAGTAACCATGGAACGAAGGCATCTCAGGCCGGAGTGGATCCAAGGGAGGTTGCGGTGAGCCGTCTTCGTCTTCTCCTGTAGCATGTCAAAGGCCAAAGCGTAGCATGCACCTTCGATAAAAAAGCCATGGTATTTGATATCCTAATAGCGGTTAGATCTTAAGTCCTGGCAAGGTAATGTAGACCTTACGCGACAAAGAATGTTGGTAGCGCAAGAGGCTGTCAAGAATCCAATGGAATTTCTTGCCGCCTCGAGGCAGTATTCACAGGCGTTGTCAAGCCAGCGTGGAGGCGTGTGTAAGCTCTCCGCAGGTATGTTTTCGGAAGATGAATTCTCTTGCTTCAACTTCGCTCGAAGGATCAAGAATGGGCGGAACGTCAACAGAAGAGTGTGGTGATACACTAGGAAATTAGTTACCAGGTTGACGGTTCAGCAATCAGGGTAACTCACTCGTAGACACCATGGCTTGACAAACCCCACGTTCTCCGGTGCTCGGGTCTCCTACAAGGCAAAACTTCATGTCTTTGAGCTGCTGTTCTGCGAAACAGTGAAGCTCTTGGCGGATTTCTATGGCTGCATTCCAGACCGGCAATAAAGAGTCATGCCGCGGGCTGTAGATGCGCTTGGCGCATTTATCCATGATCCTGGATAGCGTGGCCAAAGAGACCAAGAGCTGATGCTCTCCCGGGACAGGTATGCTTTGACCTGGATCGGGAATCGAGCTGGGGCGACCGACAACAAAGCAATTCCACCTATTCTCCGGTCAGTAACCCCGGGTCTGAGTTGGTTTTCTCGCGTGAAGTTTTGGCGTACGTTTCCCAGAAGAATAAACTCCAATACATGATCCTCCGTTGGTCGACAACCTCTTGTGTTTCCCCAGGTCGCATACATGCGTCTTTATGAAGTCCAGCAGCAACAGCTGTTCTTACTGCAGTACCGACGTGGAGGAAACTTGAGTTTGGCCGCGCTCTTTCAGACTGGAAATGACCGTGAGGGTATGTCAGCACAAAGCCCAGAAACTTGAAGAAGTGAGACTTATCATCATAAGGTGTATTTGAACCACTTGTATGTTGACAACCTCATCCAGCTTAGCAGCGCCTTGCTTCGCTTTCTGAAATAAGAACTCCGCAATCGCTTCCTCCCCAGCCATTGAAGCCCCAAGGCCCACAGCCAGCATGATGATGATGGTTTCTGGACAATCAAAATCAAGGATGGGTCGTTTGAAGAGAGCGTCTAGGCGGCGGCGGTAAGTCTCCTTGCTCATCACAGGTAAGCCGTGCCAGTAAGTGAGAATGTATCTGTCGAGTAACCTCTTTGCTGTTTCTGGGTCGATAAGCATGGCTGAGTAGTCCTCGGAGACTGACGTTGGCCGCTGGTTGTCTGCCAAGTCACCAAAGAACAGCCTTCGATCTCTGAACAGATCCAGGCCAGGACCAACTTCTTCGACACCTTCGCGAGACGGGACATTGGGACGAGTTCCTTCAATCTGGTGATATATCAAGTTGAGTAAAGCGAAGTTTGACGAGGGCCCATAGTAAAGCTGAAGTAGACATGAAGGCGATGCTCGGTGAGTGGCGGCGACGCTATTGTTGTTGATACTGCGTTCGCTCGCAAACGCCGAAGGAGCTGGTGACGCAGACACGGCGACGTCTACATTAGGAGTCAGAGGTACGTTTGAGCCCTCATCTGATGGCTCGATTGAGGGCGCTTCGAGGGTATCGTGTGACCCGATTGCCTCAGATGCGGCTGTTCGCGGCTTGATCTTGCGCGGGCGATTGCGAGCCTTCTCGCGGTATACGCAGGCGAGGCTTCTCAGCCTGCAATTCTGGCAAGGCATTACGCCATTGCACCTGATCTTCTTGACGCGACATTCCTGGCACGCCTTGGAGATTCTCCATTTTGTCGCGTTCATGGTTGTTCAATGTGTCTTGGTTAGACTGCGAGTTGATTGCTGCGCAATCAAGTGATTGATCGGCGCGCTCTTCAGTCCGCCCACTGTATGCTCTAAGATAAATACGAGCTGGAGTCGTAGAAAGCTAGGTTAGTTAATGAGAATTCAGGTGCTTGTAATCGCGCCTGGTATTATTCCATCCGGAGGATGGAAACGATACTTTGGTACTACTCTCTATACTATTCAATTAAGTCCTGGTAGCCTGCGACAATGCGCCCACAAGAGGGAGAACTAATTCAGTACAATTTAGTCAGAGACACCAAGGCGAAGATAGGAAGAGTAGACAACAGTCACCACCAGTACAGAGAATGAGCATTGAGGGTTAAAACCGACCGGGGACGAATATTGCACGCGTGGGTTATCGAGACAACCGTCCCGATACTGCACAAATCCACGTCGCAGTCAGCGTTAACCCTAAACTAGTTAGGAAAGGCATCTTGCGTGTGTCGCGGGGCCGTCTGGCCACTTGTTGGTGTTCACGGTTTTACGTGGCGGGGCTGGGTATGATGGCGGGGACGAAGTATAGTGAAGAAAACGATAGTGCCCCGCAACGGCACCCCAGCCTAACCTAACTAACCCCCCATTGGTTTGTGGGGCACGGGGACTCTTGCAGGGCATAAAAAGAATCATATGGCTGGTCAGTCCTCAGGGTCTTTGATTGTCGTTAATCGCCCCCCGAAACAGTATTGGCATCAGCGAAAATGGAGCGAGCAGAAAGCATTCCAAACCTCACGCCCGTGGGAAGGGAGGCCGAGGTCGACCTTGTGCCCGGCACCGAAATCATGACGGAGATTGGGGGAGCGAGGTTTTACCACAATGAAGACAATCCAGATTCGGTCGTCTTGATTCCGCAACCGACCGACGATCCACATGACCCACTGGTTAGCATAACCCTGTTTTAGTGTTTCTTCACAGCTCCAAAGCCCCAACCCTGCCTTAAGATTCCTGCCAGAGGTTTATGTACACCAAGTGGTTTGGTCTCTGAGTAAATATCAACCAAGTGATAGAGCTAACTTATATCTCCAGAACTGGAGCATGTTCTGGAAAACCTTGGTCATTGTTAACCAAGGTATCTTCGTGATCGCAAGCGTCATTCCGGCTCTGTCTATAGCACCTTTAACTCCAGTCTTCATGCAGCAATGGGAAAAGTCATTGACTGACGTCGCTTTGTTGGTGAGATAACCATATTCTCTTGACCCTGTGTTATTGTTACACCGTTGAGTCGTTTCGACTGCCTGGCTGCATCTTGGCCAGTTGACGGCTTACCCCCTTCGTCACCGCAATAGTGCTGGAATAGTGAAGCTGATTCTTCCAGACTGGGGTAACTGTGTTGCTTCTAGGATACTGCAATTTCTTCATCATCCCTAGCTGCGAGATTTTCGGACGACGGATAACCCTCCTTGTCTGCGCATTGCTGAACTTTGGTGCTTGTATTTGGCAAGCGACGGCTACATCATACGGCTCATTTTTAGCCGCACGGATCCTTGCGGGGACAGGGGCGTCTGCGAATGAGAGCGTTATGAACGTCGTAGTGACTGACATCTTCTTCCTCCACGAACGCGGGAAATATGTCGGATCGTACTTGTAAGTTACAACGCCGTTCAAATTCAACCGCCCTACTTACCTACAACCCAAGTTGGTGTTACTTTATGGGTCTCTTCCTTGGCCCGATTATATCAGGAGCTGTCCAGGAAAAGGTTTCCTGGAGAATCTTCTTCTGGGCTTGTACCGGCGCCCAGGGCCTTAACATCATTGGACTCCTCTTTTTCTTCCCGGAAACCCGTCGTTTGCGGAATCAAGATCCTATCCCAGCTGTTCAGGGATCGGAGCAAGGCAGCAACGACAATGCCAAATTAGAGATGAGCTCTGGTCATGTCGAGTTTGTTTCGTCAACACACATACAACCCCCCCAACCTGGGATTCTAGGAAGCGGCAAGCCCAGCCGAGCCCAGTTCGGTATTTTTCAAGCAATAGATCGGACTGCGTGGCGATCGGTTGTTCGGCACTTTTTCACTCCAGCACATATCTTTTTCTTTCCCATCATTTTTTGGGCATCCGTGTCGATGGGGTCAGCTGCGAATGCCCTATTGGCAGTTAACCTTCTGCAGTCTCCTGGCCTCGCTGCGCCGCCTTATAAATTCACACCGGCGCAGGTCGGCTACGCCAACTTTGCACTCGTGGGCGGTGGCGTGCTGGGGCTCGCCGTAGCCGGACCATGGTCGGATTATGTCTCACAGAAAGCAACGGCGAGGAACAAGGGCATCCGGGAACCAGAGATGCGGCTCTGGTCTTTAACTCCATTCATTGCTGCTGCTATTGTTGGGCTAGTGGTGAGAACATTTGCATTATCGTCTTTCATTGGGGGACTCAACTAATCATACAAAGGCTTTCGGTGTTGGCTTGCAGGACAAATGGCCTTGGCCTGCCGTCATTATCATCGGGTTCGGCTTCGTGGGTGTCCAGGTTGTCGCCATCCCTACCATTTCCATTACCTATGCCATCGATTGCTACAGGCCAATTTCGGGAGAAATCATGGCAATTGCCACTGTCTGCAAGAACACGTTTGGAGTGAGTCAGCCAAATTTCCCTTCGCCAATTCCATTCTGGCACTGATGCCATGTACTTATGAAACTATTTGTAGTTTGGGATGACGTACTTTGTGAATGACTGGGCTACCACCGACGGCTTTGTACCGCCAGTCATGCTTTTGATGGCAATGACAGCTGGTATCACATTGGTTGGGATGGTCGCGTTGATCTTCTTCGGGAAGAGCTGCAGGCGCTTGACCCGGAAGTCAAAGGTACATTCATTTTAGTCTATCTTATTCGCCTGCGTGTGCGCTCAAGAGGGGTTGTGGGATTCATGGAGCTCATCCAACACATTGGCAAACGTAGACAAGGGAGATTTCAAATAGCTAAGTAGAAAGATTAACGGTAATAGATTGTCTCCTGATCAGACGCCTTAATCATTACCCCTCCTGCATCCCGCTGGGGTCGGCATGTTAAAGATTATACCATCTGGCGGTGCTAGGAACACGGTGTTTGAACACAATGTAATAATTCTCGCATGAACAGACTTGTATGAACCAGGAGACACGTCCCGTCCCATGAACTTTTCCAACCAGTCAAGATATCCTTCCATAAGGTGACCCAGAGTCATTGGCAGCCCTCGGATCGAAACAAAGATACGCATCTGAACCATGAATAAGAGGATGCACCTCTCTAGAGTAGATCATGGTGCAGACTATGAACCGCATTTCCGAAAGAGACATCCATTAAATCAGGCCACCTTACAACCGACCACTTTTCATACATCGCGATGAAAAGGAACTTGGCTCTGCCGCCGGCGTGCTATTTCTCTCTCTGCGGCAGCCAACGTGGTGTATCTGAAGGTCGAGACTCTCTAGGCTGAGGAAGTACTTGACCTGCTGAGCTATAGCTCTATTGATCCGACTTTTATCCATTGCCGTGCCTCTCATGGACTTGATTTCTGGGTTATGATGAAAAAAGCCCCCAATCCAGGGTTTTCCAAATGGTTGAGTCTCGGCTAGCAAAATCTCGTAGCTGTGAATACGTCCGCGCCAGGCCCAGGGCAGCTTGGGTTAAGATAAGTCTCTGAGATGTTATTCTAATGTGTACACGTGAAGGGCTCTTTGCCGTTGGAACGCGTGTTGGCGCCGCGAAGTCGGCCGGCTAAAGTTTACTTAGGAACCTCATGTGCTATGACATCTTCAACCCGAGCAAGGCCAACTCACACATCCAAGATAGCAGTTCGATTATCGGATTCCGTGGAATAAGGCATGATCAAGTGAATGGTAGCTTTGAAATGTTAAAATTGGCTCAAATAGGCGGTGGGGGGGCATTTTGTGACGGCAAGGTTCGTGATGACATAAGGCGGAAGATGTGGAGCAGAAGGTTGTGATGTTATTGATTGTCGACTTGATTCTTTTACCAGTCTGTCAAGGAGGGGTTGGTATAAATTCCAACTCTTTTTCTAGATATAAGAATAGTATCATAATTAAGGAAAGTAGAGCCCTTTCCTTTTGGATTAATGATAGCACCTAGATAAAAGAAACGTACATTTTGTGGGTCCCTGGATGTATTGCTACAGGGTAGTGAGGAAAATACCTAAAAGGATAGAACAGAGACAGAAGAAGAAGGACGAGCTCCTGGGGACTAGGTTGATCCTCAAGCGTAAAAATTAACCCTATTTTAATTAGACATCAACCCTACTTGCGTATCCAACATTTCCCAGCCGCCATTCTGACAATGGTCCACCACCTTCCGGTATTCATCCTTTTACAAAGCAGGTGGGAATGCGGAGGTTTACACAGAGTCTCCTGACCGAGAGTGTAACAGCCTGGCTAACACCAATGCTCCTGAACAGGATACCCGGACATGCCGAAAAGAACAGATCTCTCCTCACGACAAGTTTAACTGCACACCGGCAGCCCACACCTTCTTAATGGACCTCGAATTCTGAATATTGGTGGTGGGGTCGGCGCCGAGAAGGACTAGGTCGGCCCGATAGCCCATTTTTATTTGTCCTCGATCGTGAAAACCGAAGGAGGACGCAGCAAGAGATGTGGCGCCCCTAAGTGCGTCTGCGGGAGAGAGGCCCGCCCTGACCAAAAGTTCCAGCTCATCGTGTAGAGAATCTCCGAATGGTGGATTTGCAGGCACGAATGGCGCAGTATTGGCATCGCTGCCAGCCAGAATGGTGACACCGGCCTTGTGCAGGTTGGTGACGCTGCCTTCAGCCGCAGCGGTATAGGCCTGAGCCGGGGCTCCGGTATTGTTGACAATAGACTGCATCATAATGAGAGTTGGAACGACGTGACTCAGTGTGTCCCGATATTGGTCGATAAATGCAGCGTCTATGGGCTTGTCCAGAGGAGTGTGGCACGGAATATCAACGCCAGCCTCCTCTGCGGTGGTCCAAAGCGCTTGGCTTGTTGCGTGCGAGATGACTAGTTTCCCCTTCTGATGCGCAGCTTCCACGGCTGCGATGAGGGATTCCAGGTCAGGACCCAAGGGATCGAGAAAGAGTTTGATGTAGTCCGCGCCCTCTGCGACGCGGGCGTCAACGAACTTGCGAGCAGCCTCGGGACTGTCGATGAAAGACTCTGGGGGAAATCCTGGAGCCCTGCTGAGGGCAGTGCCGTCTACGGTACCGGCTGCGCCAGTTCCACGAACGTCGGTTTTACCCGACATCTTACATGCCGCGAGCGTCGAGTAGGGGAAGGTTCCCATGTCCAGGGCAGTGGTGATGCCATACTTTAGCATGGTGTCGAGATAAGAACAAGATGTGACATGGCAGTGGGTGTCGATGAAGCCGGGGAGCAAATAACCGCCGCCGCCGTCCACGACATCTGCTCCAAAGGAATTGGCATTCGAGATGACGTTGCCGGAGATGACCACTGTAGACAGTGGGCCAAAGCCATTGCCGTCAAATACGTGGACATTGGTGATAGCCGTCTTGCGTGGTGCGCGGCGCAAATCTCGCGGCATCCCACATGCTGTTGTCACCGAGAAGAGGAAGCAGAAGACGATAGTGCTAGTGACCACAAACATCATTTTGAATATTGGGAAATATAAGTTGCTGCTTCATGAGACAGAACTATGGTGTCAAGGAGAGAAGAGGGCTACCCTGCATCTTGAATATTCTCCCAGGCTTTATGTTCGCAAACACAGCCCGTAGGAGAACGGCCGTTGATCGGCTCGGTTCCTTTGGTCTTTCTTCGTCGGATTCCCATAAGCTGGTTTTCGTGGGGTTTGTGGGGAAGTGGACACCATCATGCGGCTGCGGCGTCTGGGGTACACCACGTAGTCTCCAGGCGTTCATAGGAGTGGGGTTGTCGTTCTGACTTGCAGTGGAGTCTAACTGCCTCATTTCATCTGCTTTCTGCTCTAACTGCCCAAGCATAGTTACAAGATCGCTCTCAGCGATGCGGCTTGCCGCAGAGTCTCCGCTGGCTCCCTAATCAGTTCCCCGCCGCCCCTCATTAAGCCCCACGTCTCCGCTGAAAGAACGAATAATAGCAACTCTAGCCAGGCCCGGCTGTGTTTGGTTTATTACAAGCACTATAATTACCAGTACATCCCAATGCAGCTGTTGCAACAACCTATTCACCATCCGAAACAGGCTTCACTATGCTTTTGTTTGTCGTTATCAATTTGTTGCTGTGGCAGGTCCCGTTTGTTTGGGCGGTACATCTGTCACAGGTGGGCAAGCACGGCTTCGACCGCATTGACACACACTCCCACTTTGTGCCCCCGTTTTGGAGGGAGGAGTCAATAAAATATGGATTCGGCATGCCTGATGGCATGCCTGCGATCCCTGTAAGTTCAGCACACGTAAACTCCGTCATCAGCTGCTAACAAATCATAAAGCAATGGACAGAGGAGGCTCACTTGGCAATGATGCGCCAGGCAAACATCACCAAGTCCATTCTTAGCATTACCTCTCCCGGCACACATCTTGTCCCTGGTGATGATGCCCTCGCCCGCAATATCACAAGGCGATGCAATGAGTTTGCGGCCGACCTCAAGCGTCGACATCCAGACAAGTTCGGCTTTTGGGCTTCATTGCCTCTACCTGACGTCGAGGGGAGCCTTGCTGAAATTGAGTACGCGCTCGACACGTTAAACGCAGACGGCGTGGCCGTCTTGACCAACGCGCATGGCGTGTATCTCGGTGACAAAATTCTCGACCCTATCTTTGAGGTATTGAATAATAGGAACGCCACCATGTTTATTCACCCAACCAGCCCTTGTTTACGACGTGGCAACGTTATCGAGACAGTTGCCCCGTTGACTCAATACCCAAATCCTATGTTCGAGTTCTTCTTTGATACCGCCCGGGCCGTCGTCAATATGTTTGTCTCAGGAACTATCGACAAATCACCCAACGTCACCATTATCTTATCTCATGCTGGAGGCGCGGTCCCTCCGCTTGTGGCCCGCTTCACGCAATTCGCCACATCGATCCTCGGCCTTCCAGTTCAGATAAGCATCCAGTCTGTCAAGAAGGCGTTCCAGACCCAATTTTTCTTCGACCTGGCGGGCTTTGTATTTCCGGACCAGATTCAGGGTTTGCTGCCATACGTTGATGCAAGCCGTATTCTTTACGGCAGCGATTACCCATACACACCTGAAGCTGGTGTTCTCGGACTAGCTGAGGTAATGAATCAAGAGCTGCCTCGCGTATTCAAGCGTCGCTCTTCCCAGAAGGCTATCTATAACGGAAATGCTATGAAGCTCATAAGAACCTAGCATAAAAGAGGGTAGATAGAAACTTGCTAGCGCCCCCAAAGCTATTAGAGAAGCTCGGGGGCCTGCAAACTAGAGCCACCGCAGATTTCAGGGCTGCTCTTAGTCCTTGAGGAGGATATATTCAAACTCTATGTATCGATTTGGTACCGCTTAGCCTAAGCGCCATTCGGAGACATATCTCAGTTACTGTCGTTAATATTATGATGTAATCTCGAAAGTCTGGCCTATGCATATTTTTAGCTCCGCCATGTTACAATTTAGGTAGTTTAAGACGGCTTTTGGTCGAATACAACTTTCTGTCTGCCAGAAGCATGGTTTTTCCCTGAGCGCAGCTCGCGACGTAGGCCCCTTCACCAGAACTACGCCACATCACAGCGTCTCAATTACGTCATAACCCTACGCAAAGTTTGAACTACAATCTTGCGGGATTGGGTATTAGAGCAAGGAGTCCGTAGCGTGTGGCACTTCTGCCCCGCAAACGACGGCACCAGTCCCGCTGCACACGATGTACTGGTGCTGTGCTTATTGTGGGGATTAGCCACGAGGCGGCGGGCATTTCAGTTGCTTTTCGCCATTCCCCACCCTCCTTTTTCAATAGGGCACAGAATCCCATTCGACACTTGTCCGACCTGAAAATAGCTTGGTCTACTATGCAGAGATAGAAAAGATGGAGGAGAGATATCATAGTACGCGGAGAGGCTCGGAATCCTTAGAAGGCGACAGATAGGATGTGGAATCATTGTTTGTTTTATAATTCATTGAAGGCAAATCAAATTGATATATGGACAACTGGACGTGCTGAATCGTAATTGCATTGCTACTGGTCGCCAGAAGGTCATCGTATAAGTTTGGCGCCACGGTTGTCTAGCTAGCCCCTCACAGGTAGCCTCTAAAACTCGCGATGCTCAACTTTACCTTCCAAGGCTGCACCCCGTCATTGCCTGTATATTTCATTTTGCTCTCGGTACTCAATTGGAAAACTGACATAATCCGAATCTAATTAAAGACATTTTACACGACTGCGATGACAGTGACATAAGGATGACTGTAAGTTTGAGACCACCTATATGACTCTCCTTCTTGCTAGGGGGCCAAAATTCACTTTCTAATTCTTTAGACTTTATGATAGTTGACTATGTATGCTATCAAAAAGCCAGCTTGACGGCATAGGCCGATTACCAGCCCCGGTTTATCAATAGGAGAGTCTTCAGATACTCAACATTGTGACAATAACATTCATCTTGAATAGTACTTAACGGCACTGCCTTTCCCCTCGATCGAAATATGGCCCATGCTCTAATCCATACTCAATTGCAGTGGCCAACGGCGGACTAGGAAAGGACCTGTGGAACGTTCGCTTGGCCCCCGAATATTTTCCCCATTTCTAAAAAATAACGATCACGTTGCCTGCTATACCTATTGTACTGATCAGATTGTAGAATCAGTTCATTGCCTACCTCAGCTACACCGTCGCCACCGCGATGGTGAAAGGCAGTGTGTTACATTTCTACCTGCGTATCTTTATTTCCCGCCGCCTCATCCTTATCTTTGGGGCCATTTTCACCGTGATCATGATTTATTAACTTGCCTCTCTATTCATGATTATTTTTGGCTACTTACCCGTACAGGTTACCTGGACCTTTTCGGTCAGGGAAGAAGCTCAGTGTCTTTATATGCCGATATTTTACTTCCTCCAAGCAGCATTAGGCCTCGCAACTGATATTGCGACTACTACGCCTTTGCCGTTCCTTCGCAAACTGAAAATCTCCGTCAGAGAGAAGATCGGGCGTGTTTGTGATTCTGACATTAGGCGCTTCGTAAGTAGAGAGAATCAGCGGCAAGTTCGAGATCCAGAATCCCCTATGACTAATTTCTCGTCTTTCAAGGGTTTACTTCGTGAGCACGGTTCGGGTATATTGTTTGTCCTCAATATCCGAAGGCTACATCCGTAAGTGACTCACCTATACAGTTTCCACAAGTGATGCGTCGAGCCTTTCCTGGCTATTTCGGTCGGGATGAACAATACGCTCTCCTTCCCATACTCTGGCCACGAGTGCATTCAACCAGGTACTGATAGCATAAGGCTAGCGTCCTCTGCAGGACATTCGGGATTTGGCAACTTTGTAGCTTCCATTATAAGTCAACCTGAGTATAGCAGGCGGATGTCCGTCCGCCAGCATGATTGGCAGACTGTAACAGTTTGGAGTATTGGTTACTGCGTGTACAGCGACATAACTTATTGGTGAGGGCTATCCAAGCGGCCGAGTTAACACAAGAAGAGTCATGTCGGCCGTATCTGTCTAGCACGTACTGATACATGTTCTCATAGCAAGATTGCTTCAAGATGCGTAGAATACAGCACCACATTTTGATGTTACTCTACACTGGTCATCCGAGTGTATCTCATTTAGAGATAATTGCTAGCCAGACTTACCGTTCATGTGATTCTTCCCCCTTTGGCCTTCATCGCAAGGCAGCCTAGGCATACATGGCCACCTTACATACGCCTACCTCCTTACTCATTTATCGACACTCTGAGAGTCCAGGGCGGTTATGGTAGAAGTCTCGTTATTGCGGCCAAACTTATTTCAGGACGAACTTATGTCGATCCTCGGCGGGGATATTATCCTCGCTGGCTGCGAAGTCAGGCCTGAACGTTGCGGGGCATTTCTTCAGACGGGTGGGCCCGCAGAATGCTGATTTGCAGCATGTGTACCCTGCAACAAGTATCGTCTTTGCAGCAGCGGGGACGTCGACTCATGGATGAAGTCAAGTATACCGATTGACTCACACAAGCCCGACCCCTTCTCATAATCAAGTCAGCTCGTCTGCATTACACTCAACTTAATTTACTTCCAAGTCTGTTCAGGCCCCAATGGGGCCTCAATGGCAAAGGCGTGGTCGGGTGGTCTGATAAATGCCCCTCCACTAGCAAACTGCGGGGAACAGAATTTTTACAGAGGAGAGTTGATAGATTTTCGCGCGCTCTGTCACGGCATAGGGCATGGGGTAGGCTCAAGTAGAGCTCGGTGGGGACTGGAGGCCATTTTTGCGGGGCTTGGCAACGGAGCGGGCGGGATTGCTAAATGCTCGAGATCGGCATGGAAGGGATTGGACATGATGGCTGGCCGCTTGGTGCTTGGTGGCAGACACGGCGACTAACCCGCCCTCGGTGACACTGTATGATTACCATCCATCCCTTTGGCTTCGAACTCTCTCGTTCCGTGTTCCGTGGTCGCTCACTCTCCAACTGTGACTGAACTTCAAGTCTTCCTCGGCGGGGGCTTGGGCACTTCCTCTGACCATATCCCAAGGATCGTGGCCGGCCGCTGAGCCTCATTCTGTCCTTGTCCATTAGTTTCCCTCCTGTATCTACTCTCTGTGTCTTGCTCTTACTCTCAACTCTTCACTGTAGCCACCATAGAACAACACAACCAAGACGCTGTCTTACGACGACAACTTAGGCAATTGTATATCGACGACAGCAACGACTGCCTGCTCGACGACTCATTCATCGCAAATCTCCAGTCTCTACTCTACCGCCCTTGCGTTAACGTCCGCTCCGTCGGATGCTTCAATGATCCAGGCTGACTCTTGCCGTCTCCTTTCGGATTCACTCCATCAGTCTCAAGTTCGCCGTACTAGGGTATATTCAAAGTCAGGACACTCAGCATAACAGTATTCGGCCATCGCACATTCCAAATCTTATTTACCACTCAAAAGACGACGCACGGCCTACGACAAATAACGTTGCTTTCTGTCCTCACCAATTCCCGCGACATTAGGACCACATTGAAAGTCGCCTTGTTTATCCCAATTGACTACGATTACCACCGCCATCATGGCCACGGAAGCATCAGAAGGCTCGGCTGCCTCGCCGTCGCCTGCGTCTACCTCAGTAAGGACCGTCACCGGCAAGAACAACAAGAAGCGAGCCTCACCCTCCAACAACTCAGAGCAACCGCAAAAGGCCATCAAGCGACGCGCTGCTCGTGCCTGCGTGGCCTGCCGCGCACGAAAAGTCCGGTGCGACGTGATCGAGGGAACTCCCTGCGGAAACTGTCGTTGGGACAAAGTCGAGGTATGAGAACGACGACTCCGAGCCATTGAAACCATTGATCCAGTTCAAATCTCGTAGCAGTGACTGACTTTTGAGCAGTGCGTTGTCCAAGAGAGCCGCCGGCGAAGGTGAGTGGAATTGCAAACTCCTCTGGTCATCGTGTATCATCGGATCCATCCCGGGTCTCGTAGCCGGCTTCCGGTTCATTGGAGCGGCTCCTTCGGGTAGCGTCATGCAATGCGACATGAGGGTTGAATCTGCATTGGATTGTTAACGCGTCCTGCAGGAAGTATCTTCTTACCGCCAGCATCGGGGACCATCTCCTCCCCACCGAAGCCCAGCTGCGCTGCCAGACTGCGTTCTGCAACCCCATCATGAACACAGCCGACCTTCGGCGTCTCAGCAACGGCTCTGCAATTTCTACGAACAGCATTGACAGTCCGGGCAGTTTTCTGAGCAACTCCGGACTCGAGAACCATGTTCCTCACGTGAATTGTAAGTTTACTGAGCGCCTTCAAGCTCGACCCTGATTTTTGGTCGCACGTACACCTTTGAAGCCTCTAATTGGCTTGTGTCGATAGTTTTGGAGAATGCCCTGTTTTCCGCATTTTCAGCCACTCATAGTCCGCTTTTCCTCCGACGATCTGACCTCCACAATCGATCGCATGAATTTTGATACGTCTGGCCCAAGACTCCCTAGTTGACCTTGTGATGCTAGACCAACCCTCTGGCTATCGCCACGAAGTTACTCTGCACAATAAGCTGCATTCCTCTGATAGCAATGCCCAGGGCTCACTCTGGTCCAATCTCATGACCAGCCCTTCGGTCCTCGATAATCTCCGCACCTCCCAGTCTCTCAGCTCGCTTAGGGAGCAAGAATCCACCTCCGCCCAGCTTCCTGCTTTCCTGCGCCCTCTCCCTACCAAGATTGCAGCAGAGGATGTCAACTACCTGCAAATCAAGGGCGCCTTGTCTATGCCTATTCTCCCGCTTCAGAATGCCCTACTGCAGGCTTACATCGAATATGTCCACCCATATATGCCGCTTATGGACCTGAACAACTTTCTCAGCATCATTAACACTGGCGATGGCCAGAATGGACAAATAAGCCTTTTTCTCTACCAGGCAGTTATGTTTGCGGCGTCTGCTTTTATCGACATGAAGTACCTGCGTGAAGGCGGTTATACGACGCGGAAAGCCGCTTGCAAGTCTTTCTTCCAGAAGACTAGGGTAAGTGACACTAACGTGGAATTGACGATTGGAACTCTTAGGGGCTTGGACTCATTTGCCAATAGTTGCTTTACGATTTCGATTACGAGTCAGACCGCCTTATCCTCATCCAGGCTCTCCTTTTGATGACATACTGGTACGAAACCCCTGATGACCAGAAAGACACTTGGCACTGGATGGGCGTGGCCATCTCGCTGGCCTACACCATCGGCCTCCACCGAAACCCCGGATTAACCAGCATGACCCCAGCTAAACAGAAGCTGCGGAAGCGAATTTGGTGGTCGTGCTGTATGCGAGACCGTCTTATTGCACTGGGAATGCGCCAACCCTCACGAATTAAGGACGAAGATTTTGACGTCCCCATGCTCGAGGAGAGCGACTTTGAAGTCGAAGCCCTACCCAAGGACAACACCGTCATCCCCGCCAGCTGCACGCTAGTCCGCAATCTCGACACGCAGCGAGAACTGGCCATCATGTGTATTGCCAAAGCCCAGCTCTGCGTCTGTATCAGCCATACGCTCAAGGCACAGTACTCGGTTCTCACTAGGGATATCATAAAGCTCGAGAATACAACGAATAGCACTATAATGCTATTTCCTAATAAGCAGCTAGATAACGTCGAGAGTATTAATAAGACGGACCTTGAGCTTATGGCGTGGGCTGAGTCTCTGCCTACCTGCTGCCAGAATCGTACCCTGACACCCTTGGATGTTAAGGATGGACGAACTACCATCGCTGTGCAGCGCACGCTACTCCACATGGTTTACTACACTACTATTTCAGCACTATATCGGCCTCAATTCCTGCCCTCCACGCCTTTCCAGGCGCCCACGATATCGAGCCAGGTTCAGGGCATAGCCCAATTGCGAGTGCGCGACGCTACGATGCATATCACCCGAATGGCCTCGGAGCTTCACCAGTGCTGCCTAGAGCGGTTCTTGCCTCCTACCGGTATTACGGTCATTATGCCGGCCATGATCATTCATCTGCTGGAGATGAAGAACCCTGCTCCTCAGGTATGCCACCATGCCACTGAAGGCTTCCGCCAGTGCATGCAGGTAATGGAGAAGCTTCGCGAGGTATACACTGCGGCCGACTACGCAATAGGCTTCCTCGACACTGCCCTGCGCAAGACAGCGGTCGACATTAATGCCAACCTCAATCCTTCGACATTAGCCATGATAAAGCCAGTACCGGTCGAGTTCAGCGCCCAGACGCCGCCACTCAAGAATACTCCGGAGATGACCGCCTCTGAGTCTCTTTTCAACGAGAAGCCCAAGGAGCCGCAACCGCAGCCGACGCTGGCCAATGCCGCCGCCCTACAGCCTCCTACCAACTCACAGCCTCAACCTGAGCTATATTCTTCAGCTGCCGGACTGACGCCAACTGTCAGCGTTGGTTCGGAGGAGATACAGTTTGGCGTCGGAAATACGGATCTCGATTCCATGCAGGGATATGGCGAATTTAGTTGGAACGCCGTGGCCGGAACCAACTCTGACGTTGACCAGTGGGTTCAATCCCCTCTTGATGTTGCCAATCAAGTTGATATATTGATTGATGGCGTGCTTGGACGCGGAGTTGACCAGCCGACCATGTCGGGCGAGCAAGCGCTGAGCGGGGCCAAAAAAATGTTGAGGACACTGTAGAACGAAGAATACAAATCACTACCGCCTCATTCGAATCCGGATTAAGAACCCCCATTCAAGCGTTTAAAGGCAATGAGCGGGCTCGAAAGGCACCGAGCCCACAGGACTTCGTCTCTGGGAAGCAGATGTTCTTTGGAAAGTTCAAATATCCACTGAATGCAGACCATGACGAACATGACCACTTGCTGTCGGCCCCGACGCTAAGAACGACCCTCTTGTCACGGATCCCATCCAACTTGGTGGGAGAGACGGAAAGACTAGTCTCAACTGTCGCGAATGTCTCTTGACTCACCGTCGGTGCCGCCTATATCTGCCGCGCGCGAGCATTTGTTTAGTGTTGCTTGACAAATGGTCTCACCGCTGCGGACTCGGCTGGAAGCTAGCACGACAGAGATGGCACAAACACTAAGATCGCGGGTGCGGAATGGCCTAATCAACGCCGTAAATACATTAATTAATGTATCAGGAGAGGTTGGAATGACATTATATGGGAGGCAAAGGAGGACGGCCAAGACGCCTGGGAGTAATCGATGTGGATCTTAGGGTTATACACGGATCAAACTCTTCAATTCAACGCAACCAATTCAATTTGGAAATGCGGTCGTTCAACTCCACGGCCCCAACGCTGAGTAAGCTGTCAACGTAGCGAATGCCACGCGAAGGCGAAATTGATAGAATTGAATTGATCGCCGGCCTGAGGTATTGGTTGCCACTGTGCTCAATCGCGCGATTTACGTGGGCTTTGAAACTGCGTGGGTTCATGGCGCTTAGGATGGCTATAGTGAGTGGGTTCCTGATGTTTGCGATGGCTTCACGCAAGCTTTGAGCTGGTGGTGGACTGTGGTTCAGTGGGCTGTGCATGCTTGCGGCCAGCGCGCCTCTAGCAGCCATTGCACCGCGAGGCCGGGCAGGGCAAGGAGGCGGCTGAGGTAGGGGCAGCCAAGGCCGCAGGGAAGAAGCCTGCCATAGAAGCCAAGCATATCGCCTTGAACTCGACCCAGAACGTCGTTATTGCCCTTGAAAATATGCTGCCAAAAGCGATATATCATGTTTTTATGGATAATTTTTTCTCTTCCCTTCCTTAGACCTTTTCCGCAGCCTTCACACCTATGGCCACGAGGCCACAGGCATCGCCCGCCCTAACTGCGGCTTCCATAAGGAGCTACAGAAGGATAAGCAGGGAGAAGGGGGGATCTCGGTTGGTTAGGACCAGGTACGAGTTCAATACGGTCAAGATGATCCTAACCCCTGACAATTAGGTACTAGCTTGAGACACTTTTATATGAAAATCCCTTACTAATTTATCTGTGTGCTGTACTCGCAGGTTAATTAAGAAACTTGGAAAGATAGCCTTCTTGTGTTATTCTTGACTACTGTATTCATGGGCGATAAACATGTCAAACGAAAGAGGAGGAAGCCCCTGGGCTAGGCTCCAACCATCGCGGTCCAGCTACCTGCCACAGGCTCACAGCACCCCCTGGAATCACATGACCAATGCACTCTGTTGATGACTGTTCACTGGTGCCTATCATACGTCAGGAGCTGAAACAACTTGCAATGTGTTCTAATTGCCATTAAGCCCGTAATACCACATGCGGATGCGGGGCGGTGTGACTGTGTGGGCCAGGCGGCCCGAGGGCTTGGAAAGGGCTGGGGTTTTCGCGGGGCAATGGGGCGTACCCTCTGGTCCCGCAGCGGCGCCATCCTGGTAGGATCACAGACTTACTCCACACGGATCACGTCGTCATGACTACGGTGTCTCATGACTGCTCATCAGTCCTACGGTACCTCTCCATAGATAATGGTACTTCTGATGCGTTAAGCCATCAAAAGCCATTCCCAGCCGCTGGACGAATTGCAATATGGGCAGCTGGCATGTCTCGTTTACCGTCGCTGATGTGGTTGTAATTAGATCAAAGCATAACGCCCAGTACAGGGTTTTTGCCGGCCCCACCGGGGAGCTGCCCTCGAGTGTTGAGAATAAAGAAACTTGGCCGCCCCCCCAACATCAAAAAGAAAACAGACCCTGTCGCTCTGCAACCTCCTTTGTTTCTCTTTTAAAGCGCTTGTGCGTGTCTCTTGCCACGGGTCAAAATGACAATAACTGATATCCCAAAGCCTGATGGGCCTGATGACAACATCGGTGAGTAGTATGCGCCTCAAAAGAGATGTGTAGTGTTTACTTCTCTAGCTGACCTATATCAGGCTGGCGGGTCCTGTATATCTCGTGGGCGTTATATGGCATTGCCTTCATCGTCGTTTGTCTGAGGGTTTTTGCTCAGGCAAAGGTCACCCGCCGATTACAGTGGGGTGACGCTCTAATGATTTTTGCGTTGGTACGTCCAAGGTGAAGCCGCTTTTGTCGCCGGGATATCTAACAGGCGAAGCTGTCCGGCGTGCTTTCCTGCGTATTCCTCACGATAGCTTACGGCCGGGGCTTTGGGAGACACTTCTTCTATCTTACGCCCTCTGAGAGAGTTGATGCGACGAGAATGGAGTATATCCACCAGCCGTTTGGTGAGAATGCCACTGTCTCTCTGCTGCTAGCCTGTTGGTTGGAACGGTCGCTCATGAATTCTGATAAATAGGTATTGCGAGTTCGACCTTTGGCAGAGTGTCATTCATGGTTTTGCTATACAAGCTTTCCATTACCGCTCAGCGCCGGCAATGGTTTCTCATATTCATGATGATACAGACGACATCTATCAACATTGTCACATGTGTGACTATCTTCACTCAATGTAGAAATGTCAACACAATTTGGGATCCCGCCGGTGTGCCTGGGAAGTGCTGGAGCCCTTCGGCTCAAGAGGTGAATCATCCATCCAGATGTGATCTCTTCATGCCAAAACAAGCTGACCACTGTATAGTATATTGGATATTTTCAAGGATGTATGCATACCTCCCCTGCAGCTCAAAGCTTGCACTAATAGAAGAATGAAGCCTGTAACTCCGCGACAGATCTTATCTTGACCTTCCTCCCTGCTTACATGTTTTGGGGTCTTCACATGCAGTTGAGCACCAAGGTCGGGTTGGTCGCGCTGATGGGCTTGAGCATTTTGTGAGCGATTCTGATGCCATATGAGCACATATGAACTTTGCGACAGAATTGCAACTGACTCAGATTTTAGCGCATTCGTAGCTTCGGTCATCAAAACTATTCTCCTCCAGTCTCTAGGATATAGGTCAGATTTTACCAGTAAGCCCAATCAATCTCATCTGCAGGAGAATAACTTTTAATGGCACATTGTCTAGGGAACGTGGCTGCCTTGTTTATTTGGCTACAGTTAGTAACGTCCATTGCTCTAACTTAAGTCTTCGATGCACTGACCTCGATGCGCAGCGTGGAAAACACTCTGGTCATCACGGCGGCTTCAATTCCAATGACCCGACCGCTGTTCCAAAACTCGAATGAAACGAAATCGTCGACGTATGAGATGGATGAATACCGTAACAACCGAGTGAACTCGAATACGTTTAGAAGAATCATGGTAAATGCAATAGACACAACGAGCGAGGAGAATATTATGCCGAGAGAGGAACAAGGTATCACAATCCAGACGGATATCGTTGTTGAATACGAGGAAGAGGAGACCGGAAAGGTTCCGAGTGACCAGACGGGGCCCAATATCTGGGTCTGATTTTGCAGGTTTACTATGTGACGGTTGGGTCTCCCAGCCTGATAAACCTGGCCGTGCTACGGTGCAAAGGGTTAATTGTAATTTAATAAATTCTACACTTTCCGTCTATGCGCCTACCCCCCTTTCTCCGGAGATCAATAGGAAGATAGGAATTTGTCTTTCTAAAACCCGAGGAATACCTATAGATAGAATGACCCCAGCTTGGGAAAGTCTTTGGGGGTAGTGTAACGGTTGCACAAGCCGTTAAACCACAGGGCAAAAGATCGGGCCATAATCGCTATGTAAGCAATCATGGGTGTGCTACAGCTACCTTATAGAAGCCTTACAGCGCTGTTACGGGCACGAATCGTAACAGGTAGGGTTAGCCTTGGGTATAGGCTTAAAATAGAATAAAACATACGCTAAAAAGTAGGCTAAAAGTAAATTAAAAATAGATAGCCTAGGGAATTTAATATTATAATTATAAATAAGTTTATATTTATATCTTAATGTTACGATTCGTGCCCGTAACAGCGCTGTAAGGCTTCTATAAGGCAGCTGTAGCACACCCATGATTGCTTGCATAGCGATTATGGCCTGATTTTTTGCCCTGTGGTTTAACAGCTTGTGCAACCGTTACACTTAATTATTAGTCTTAATCTGGTTTATATTTAAAGTATAATAATAAGTAGGGTTAGGGTCAACTTTAATATAAGCTAATTAGCTTAAAAAGCTAATTATATAAATAATATATATTAAATTATAAGTATGAATAATTAAACTACTAATTTACCTTAAGCTAACTTTAACTATATGCTTCTTAAAATTATCCTTGAGCTTTAACCTTAAATAAATAATAAGAATAAATACGATTATTAAAAATAATATATTATTATTTTTTAAGTTTATAAGTTAGCCTTAAAAGGTATATTTAAATATTTTTAATGTTTAATATAATTTAAATATTTACTACTCCTCAAATAGCAATGCTTTATTAAGTTAATATTCTTATAATTAGTATACTTTAATTATCTATTATATTTATAATAATTATATCCTTATATCCCTGTATATGTATTAGCGCAGTAAGACAGACTAATATAGGCCTGACAATTCCGCGACATTGTCCCCAGATGCAAGAATATAAATACAGGATAAGACTCCGTTCTTCCATTCTATTTGTCTTTAAATAATCTCTTATCCTCTTCTACACTGCAACCTTCCGAAACGATCTTTATAATCTTAAATCTTTCTAAAGATGCCTGCTCCTCCTTGTAAATCTGCCTAAGAATGGGAAATCTTAAAAGCTGATCACCAAGGAGTATTCACTCCTAGCAATCTGTCCATCATAATCGACATGGGGAACGTCTTGCGAGCATTTTTTCCAATCAATAATGACGAGGAGCGAAGCCGAGTAATAGACTGTCACAGATTTGCCACAGTGGTAGATACCTGAGTCGTTTGCATGTGCCCTAATCTCACAAATTTCACATTCTCAAGTGATTATGGATACCGTGTAGCAGGACTAGCAGACATCTAGCAGAAACCGTTAGGTTTTCTCTAGCGAGAATCTGAAGGGGGGAACAAGAATTTCATTATTTCCTTTGGCTGCAATTTTGCCGCCTCTGCAGGTGGAAACGACTCAGAGCCTGACTGGCTACTTGTATTCTGCCACGGAAGCTCTGATGAAACAGATCAAGGTAAGGATAATCTATAAAGAGCTAATCGAGTTTGAGGGATACCGACACATACCAAAGGAATCCATCTACTTTTATAATCAGAACTGAAAACTGAACTCGGTGGGTTTTATGTAATTGTCAATGGAACAATGCTTGAAGCTGTGGGGGACCTGGATGACACCGGCGTGTGGGAGTCTATCACAGTATCAGACCTAAGCTTAAATACCACCGTGCTCTTGTAGGCTACCCTGTACATGACCTCGTTCTAGGCACAACGAATGGAAAACAATACGACGAGGACCACACCAAGACTCGCAGAGCCTTCGTTAGTTTGGGACCCCCTGACGGCTAAGTGTAATACAAAGACTGTTCTGCAACAGCTTGGCGCTACGACATCAGAAATACCTATCGCACAACGCAGAACCTTCCACTTTGCACCCCCTCTGCGGCGTAAGCAACCTAATTCTCTAGTTACTGGAGATAGCATGGAGACTAACGATGGTATCTATAGTGCCGACTGGGACCCGTTATATGCTGGTATGGTGAATAGCGCCTAATTCTTGATTTTCAGCGACGTGGCCATGTGCACGAAAAGCCTAGCCATAGCCCTACAGGCCTACTTTATAAGGTTATGTTCTATACGCTTTGATGGGATTATCATGTTCGACATGGTCGGATCATCAATGCAAGTCTCTTTAGTCCAAGCTACTCGATAGCTAGGTTGGAGCGCCTTTATCAGCGGTTTGGTCGTGATTGTGACTCATCTCATCCTTGTCCTCTTAGTCATACTGATGTCCCGACTCTCTGGAGTCCCCGGCCGTTTTCAAAACGTATGGGCCTCTATCTCGCAGCTCTTTGGGTCCGTTACAGAAGACTGGATCAGGGAGGCGGACACGGTGGACGATAAGACAGTTGAGTGGTGGTTGAATGATCTGGGACTTCACAATGTTTTGTTGGGCATTGAGTATGTTCAGTGTCGGGTGTATCTTGTCAATAAGCAAAAGGTCTCATAACCGTATATTGTTCCAGTTAGAGGCTACTTACAATAAGATTATAAATATTAAAAAAAAAACTATTTCTCTAACCTGAACATACCACGGGCGGAAGGACAGAGTTATGGAAATCATTGAGCCTGCCATTGTGGACTGAAAGGTTGACCCTACAAAAGGCTTAGGAATGAAAACACAAGTGAACAAGCGTTCTTTAACCTCGATTTTCAAATTAAAGTCCACTGTGATACTTTCCTCTCAATGCAATGATCTGCAGAGAATATCACATGTATTTAAATAATCACTTGAATCCGGCCAAGAACTTGAGTTTTAAAAGAAGACCAACACTAGTATTGGAATTGGTGCTCTAGCATCATTGTCGACCATTTAGAGCTGGTTAGAAAAGCCATGCTTAAGCCTAGTAACTTATATGTCTGTATAACCAAATTACTGAGAAGGATAGGATTTTGTTTCTCATGAACACCTGTACCTTCTCACGGATGGCCAATTCATTTTCTTGACAATTCCTTTCTGTGGCTCGGCGATCCCACCACACGGCCCTAGCTAGTAATATGGGTCCGTCGGACGCAGACGGACCCACGCAGGGCCTTTCGTAATCTGAGTGAGCGCTCCGAAGGCGTTCGGACGAGGATTGTACCCGGTTTGCTCATCCATTTGCCATCTGTAGATCACTATGGATACCATGCAGATCAAGAACGGGCTTGGAGAGCTGAAATATAGCTGCAGAATGAAAGCGAATGACGATGCAAGAAGAACGCCACAGCTGCATTAGTCGGACAAAGGCGGTGATGCCCTAAACAACACCAATGACAGTTTGACACGGATTGGACTTAGTAAATGCCAGAGAGATAAAGTTTTGGCCGCTTTGACTAGCTTACTGCAAACAACATGTGAGAATGATCAACACAAGCTCCCGACACTGCTGCCCAAGCTACAGTGGATGGAAATTTCTAAGTGGCTTTATGAGGCGCATTTAAGGGTGACTAGTCCGTGGCTGCCTTACCCCGCCTTATTACGTAGTTAGGGCCTGCTGGGACACGGGACAAATATGAAAAGGGATTCAGACAACAAGGGAATCAATCATAGAGGAACAAATATTCACTTTCTCAAACCCTCTCTCTGATTGCGGACCTTACAGCTATCGACCTGCTACTTTATTTGTTTCAGACTATCACTCCTCCTATGGACCGAGATCCGGCGTTCAACAGATAACGACCTACTTTGAGTATTACTCCATAAATCAATCGATATGGGTGGCCGGCACTACCTAGAGAGGCTTAAGAAATATTTCAACGCGAAAGAAGGGAACGAAGTAAAAGAAGAGCCCAACACGGCTTCATTACCAGTCGGGAATCCACGCTTATCCAAGCTTCCCGGCACAATTACAGATCCCCAACCACCTCCTGTCGATAACCAACTACCTCTTGCCGTCAATGAATCAAAAAAGAAAGCAAACAGAACAAGCTTCAAGAGCAATTGTGGAATGAGGCTTACGATAAGCTCCGAGAGAGTGAAAATAAGTACATCGCCCAATATGAAGAGATTCTCGTGTCCGAGCTCAAGAAAGACAACCCCGATACCGATTCAGTCTCACTTGGGAGCTCCCATGAGGAGCGGTGGCGTCACATGCAACGTCTCGTCCAGATCGGCCTGTCCAAGACTGAAAAGGAAGCCAAGATCTACGAGAAGGTGAACGATGGACTGGAACTCTTTGGCACTGTGAGAGCTTTAGTTGAACCAGCCGTATCAGCCGTTCCGCAAGCTGCAATCCCGTGGGTAGGCGTTTGCTTCATCCTTGAAGTCATTTCAAACCCCGCGAAGCAGCCAGGCATCCATCGCGAGGGGCTCCAGCACGTTCTTTCTCGTGTCAATTGGTACTGGAACCTCGCAGAACTTCTCCTTGAAGACAATTTGGAGTCGAAGGAAGACGTTGAAGAGACCGCATTGACAAAACTACGACTTGAGCTCCAGCCACTTGTACTTGACTTGTACCAGAAGTTTCTTTGCTACCTGATAGAGAGTGTGTGCTACTTTCAAAAGAACCGGGCCACTGCGTTCCTGAAGAGTGTGGTCAATATAGACTACTGGAGTGGCAAGCTCAAGGACATTGAGGCCTCGGAAAAAGAATTTGATAAGCATTCTCAGCAGTACAATACGACAGAATCCCGCGACAGGCTCAAGACTCTGATTATTGGTGTTAAAAGCATTGAGAAGGCTATCGATCGCCAGACCGAGCAACAAAAGAAGCTCAATGAGGACGAAAGCAATAGACTGTGTCTTCGGGCTCTCTATATAACTAATCCACTCTATGATAAGGAGAGGATTGAAGAAGAGAAGGGTGGGCTTTTGTCTCATTGCTATTCCTGGATCTTCCTTACTGAGGGTTTCCAGACTTGGCAACAAGACCCTGATTACAAACTGCTTTGGATCAAAGGGGACCCTGGGAAAGGCAAGACAATGCTCCTATGTGGCATCATTGATCGCCTTGATGAGACGACACCGAGCTTAATTTCATGCTTCTTCTGCCAAGCCACGAGGAATCATCAGAACAATGCTACAGCTGTTCTTCGGGGGATAATCTGGAGTCTTGCCCATCAGCATCCTGCTCTAGTCTCCCATATACGCAGTGAATTTGACAGCGCAGGGGAACAGGCGTTCAACGGACCAAACAATTGGGAAATTCTGACATCCATCTTCAGGAGAATGATATCAGACAGCAGCAATCGGGTCCCTGAGGGTACCACTATCATAATCAACGCCCTTGACGAATGCACCAAAGACAACAAAAAACTCCTTGACCTGATTGTGGACTTTTGCGGTAATAAGAAATCTCAAGTAAGGTGGATTGTCTCGAGTCGTAACTGGGTGGAATTTCAAGACGCCTTTATGAAGAAAACAATTGCCTCACAAAGAGTCATTGTGTCTCTCGAAGATAACAAGGAAGTCAAGGAATCAATCAAAAATGCTGTTGATGCCTTTATTGAGTATAAGGTGGGAGAACTCGAGAGAATTAAGGAGACTAAACTCGACGCCGAGGTTCACAATATCTTTGCCGAAAAGTCTGGCAGTACCTTTCTCTGGGTGGCTTTAGCCTGTCAGAAATTGCTGGATAACGATATCGATGATTGGCAAATCCTCGATATACTGAAGGGATTTCCATCTGGCCTGAAAGACCTTTATAGGCGCATAATGCAGGAGGTCAAAGATTCCCGCCATGCATCGCAATGCAGGGACATCTTAGCCATTGCCACCCTTGTGCACCGTCCTATATCATTGGGAGAACTGTCGTCAAGTTCCCAGTCCCTCTCCCAGCATTCGAATAGACTTGATGCCCTGAAGAAACAAGTCTTGCGTTGCAAAGGGTTTCTGGTTGTCACAGAAGACTTAGTCTCGTTTATGCATCAATCCGCCAAGGACTTCTTGTTGGAAGACCAGTTTGCAAAGGAGTTTATCTGGGAAGCTGAGAAGGAGGACCAGTTATCAGAAAGCATTCTACGTAGTCATCACACTATGCTGATCGCAATGTTGGAGACGATGAAGAAGACGCTCAAGTACGACATTTATGATCTTAAGAAACCGGGTGCAGATGTACTTGACATTGACCGGAAGGATGCCTTGGATCCCCTGTCCCCGGTCAAGTATGCCTGTTGCTACTGGGCCGATCACATCTCGATATTCGACGACGAAATTGCGTGTGCCACCCTCGAATTCCTCAAAATATCGGTGCTCTACTGGCTAGAGGCCTGTTCGCTCCTTGGAAAGTTACCTATCGCAATGCTGGAAATTCAAAAGCTTCAGAATCTAGTGGTATGTCCCTGTTCTATATGTCATGCGTGCCTGTTCTAACGAAGTCCCAGCTTGGTACAGAATACCTCGAATTGATTAGTGTCCGGCGAGACGTCAATCGGTTTGCCCTGTATTTCAAAAGTGCAATCGAACAGTTTCCCTTACAAACATATGCATCCGGGCTTTTCTTCAGTCCTAGAGCTTCATTGGCAAGACAGACATTCAAACAACATACTCTCGAGACGTCATGGCTTAATGTACCTATCTCGGAAGACTGGGATCCTTGTGTTCAGACGCTCGAAGGCCATACATCTACAGTATCCAATATGGCCTTCTCTGGTAACGGCCAATGGTTAGCATCGACCTCTCATGATCACACAATCAGGATCTGGGACGTAGCGACGGGTGTTTGTCTACAGACTATAAACAGCCCTTATGTAGAGGTGCATGCAGTTGCATTTTCCAGTGACAGTTCCTGCCTTGCGTCAGCGTCTGAAAACTGCACAATCGAATTTTGGGATACCAAGTCAAAGGAATTCATAAAGAGTCAAACAGTCGATACTCGAGGAACTGTTATTATTGGTCTTCTTTTCTCCCCGGATGGCGAATGGCTCGCCTCTTGGTCCTGTGAGCCGAAGGTTCAGATTCGGAATGCGAAAACGGGTGATTGCATTTACAGTATTACAGTTGAGCAACAACTTCCGATCGGTCCGGAAATTCGGTTTTCCTTTTCATCTGACAGCCAGCGTATCCTCCTTGGCTCAGAACAACCTGGCGTCCGGGATATAGTTGGCTGCGAATGGACCAACTACCCTGAGATCCATCCGGAACGACTTTTAACATCAGCTTTCTCTTCAGAAGGAACATGGGTGGGACACGCCTTTGGCGAGCACGGTCATTCAATTTGGAGATTCTCCGAGGCAGACTCCAATCGAGTGGTAGAATTACTGAGAGAAGACGGGTACGGGCTCCCGCCCTCAGGCCAATATCCAGCTGAGAGACCATTGCCAACACCGCAGAGGCCCTCAGCCATTTCAAATGACGGTACACAGGTTGCAACGTGCACTGAATACCCCTTCCGGCTCGCCATAATTGATGCCACTACCGGAGCCGTTGCATATGCAAACCCGCGAACTGCAACAGGGGCTGGAAGCGGTCTTCCCATGACAATGGCCTGGTCAGCCGACCGACAGTGGCTCGCTGTAGGGGGAGTTGGAGCTAATGGCCAGATTGGAATATGGGATCCGAAGGCAATCAAAGATGGCAGCGAGACGAATGAAATTGGCAAACGCATACAAGCCATGGCATTTTCTACAGATGGTCAGAGGTTTGCCTCGGGCTCTGAAGACGGCATTATCGAGATCGTGGATATGGCACGTCCAGGCAACAGTTCGCTTACCCTTGAGGGCCACGATTCTTCTGTCTATGCGATAATCTTTTCCCCATCAGGAAAGATGCTGGCAACCCAGTGCGCGTTCCTTGTCAAGATTTGGAACATCGAAGCGTCAGGGGAGTGTGTACACACATTTGAGGCAGGTCAAATAGACCTTCGACTCGCTACAATATTGATAAAGTTAGGTATCAGCCTGTGTGTCTATTTGCGTAGGCATAGCTAGTCATGGCAATTAGTCACGGACCAGGAATTGAATAAATCTACTATATCTTAAGTACCTGAGAGTTGAAGGCTGTGCAACAAAGTAGTATCCCTGTGTCTGATACTTTATTAAAGCATTCAAATTCCTATGCTTAAATAGCTTTCTGTAAGGAGTTTACTTCTAAGATATACATCTCACATGGCTTCTGCTCGTTTCTTCAAGACACAAACCAGACCATGATGCTGTACGAACCAACGATTTGATATCGCCCACTCAACCTTGGGATCCGCGAGCTCCATGATATGCCGTCTTAATAACTGCGGCAATACCTTGTGCATGTCCATAAGACAGATATTCTTATTAAAATAAGTCCGTAACCCCAGTCCTATAGTCTAAAATTAACTTCAATAGAGTTATTCCTAACCTCCTTTAACCCTAGTAGAGTTAATTATTACCAGGGTATAGAGTTAATTTAATATGTTTCTATATACAGGAATAGTAGTGCTAACTAGAACAAAGGTTATCTAGAATGTGATATTTTATATTTTTAAGTTTACAAGTCAGCCTCGAAAGGCATATCCAAGCATCTCCAAAGTCTAACATAATTTAAACATTTATTACCCCTCAGCAGGCAAAGCTTCATTAAGTCAATATTATCATAGTTAGCTGCCTTAATTGCAGCCTGAACCTAGCTGCACATAACCCAGCTGGAGAGCCTTACTTGCTCTTCAGCTGGCCCCAATCTTCTTCCTGCAACCCACTTCAAAGGCCACTCTTTCGCCGACTCCTGCAGATACCACGCTTGAATCATCCACTGCGCTTCCACAGTAAGTGATCCGATCCGACTTCCCCTATACCTTCTGATCGCAACCGCTAACAGCATCACAGCTGCACTGTAACGATGCTCAGAAGAAGCCTGCAGACACCCGATCCCGACGAGCCTTATCTAACAGAAGGCCACGATGTGATCGATATGATCGATATGATCGACCAAGCTATCAAGGAAGACGGTCACGACCTAGAACGTGATATATTCTTTTACATAAAGTACTGTAGAAGATTATAGTATACTAATAAATACTTTAATTATTAATCGAAGTATTATTTTTATTTATATTTTATTATTAGTAACTAAGTGATTAAAATAATTACTGTTATTATTCTAATTTATATTCTAAATCCTATAGTAAAATTTATCCTTATATTTTTAGTAATAAGTATTTTAGGGAATTATTAGGCATTGAAAATAGATAAACCTTTAATAAGATAGAGTAAGGTTAATAGAGAAGAAAAACAGACTGTTTGCTATATACTTTCGTCTCAACTAAATCTGGGCATCGTATATTCTCAGTATTGATTCATACAATTAATTCAATTTGAGACGTGATAGCGGTTAATTGACGCTATACCAGTTGATATAATTCAAGATAGTAGCCTAAACCTAGACACATTTCCTATCTTAAAGACTGTACCGAGTACCCGAGACGTATGAAACACTTCACCTTTAAAGGGGTATTGAAGTATAGATTGAAGTTTTAATAGTTCTGTTATAAAAAAGAAAAAAACAGAATAATGCAATCGACAAAAGGTCTTGCGTCATAATAAGGCCAATACTGAATTAAGCATACCCCTGTGATTGAATACATTGTGAAAACATTATTTATTATCGGCAATTCCTCCATTGACGACAACGTAGACCTTTGCTTCATCCTGAACCTTCTCCGGGACATCTCCGAAACGATCTCCCGGAGCGGGCCCAAGGAAAAACGAAGCGACGATCGTCTTACGTGCCAAAGCATGGCACCGGCATGTACCACGGCCAAGCGCGGCTTGTACCGGTCTTGGGCGGCCCAAACTTTGACACCCTCCTTTGGAAAAGGGTGAGAAATAGTAGTGCGGAAAATACTATTGTGAGTTGAGTAACCACTTTTGGAATTATGCTGGGCAATTGCCAAAAGATCTTCTAATGGTGTGAGAAGTAAGAGTCGAGCCAGGTGAAGATGTAACAATCTCGAATCTTCAAGTCCCCCAGCCCTGACTGATAAGCTAGGTGCATCCCGGTACAATACATCTACACAGTCACAGCACTGATTACGCCACGTGTTGTACTCTGGTATTGATCCAAGGTGTTTGTAATGTGGCGTGGCGATAAATGATGAAACTTGGTCATGTTCGTAGCGTAACGTATCTTTTACGTACTGTTCAATGCCCCATCTTCGGTGAACTAACTTCTAGACGATGGTGAAAGACACTGAAGAGTATGGCAATGTCAGCTTTTGCCATAATTCGAGCGTAACTTCATGAGCCGCGGATCGTGAACACTCTTCTGTAGTGAAGGCAGTCTTTGCACCACATTCAATTCCTGCTAAGTTCTCTGTGCTGATATAAGCTCTCAGCCACAAGTCTCAACTGCAAATAACACATCTGGCTCACAACTTAGACATTATACCACAATGCCTGACCAATTGCTACAGCATAAATATTTAATTCCTGCAGCCTTAAACCACTGTCGCGGTAACTCAGCATCTCATAACTCGTCGTGGCATGGAAGCTTCAGTTTAGAAGTCTCTGGATATATGGACGGATAATGGCCTGACGCAAGAGCAACCCAGCAGCTTGTCAACTGCACATCTTGTCAGAATAGGGCACTTTTTAGTTGGCGTATGTAAAATCAACTTACCCAGAACAACAGCCCTGTTCTTCTTCGAGTCTCCCGAAACTGTCACGTAACCCACAACTGTTCCAGGCCTTGATCTTCGTCATACGAACCGATCTTGTCATCCTCAGCCAACAGATCAAATTGACGACGGACATATGCAACTATTGACAAAGCGTTGTATCCGCATTTCCATAGAGCTGACTGGCGACTCTGGCAAAGCCCAATCGCTGCCAGAATGCGAGACTGTGTGTACGGCAGTGGCTCTTAAGACTCGATCAAGTCAAGCTATATGGTGTTGGTGTAAGACAAATCACGATCACATAGCGAGGGAAAATCCTCTTCGACCATCATCTCATGAAGAGTGCTACACAAACAATCTCCGAATTGATTGACCTCATCGCATCCAAAATACTTCGATCTAATCGCCGCGGTGGCTAAGCACAAACTCCAGTCACAAAGCGGAATACATAAATGTGACCTGTCAATAAACGGATTGACAGGGTGGAAGCGATCAAAATAGAGATAGATAAAAAGGCTAAGGACGGGCTTGGATTACAAAAGGTTCTGATGAGTAGTGACGTTACTCAGAATTTGAGCAATACTCATGCTCCTCGAGTCTCGATATCAGCTCTTCGAAGATAATGTCGGATATATCGCCCGAAATTTCACTGATAGCTGCGGCTCTGGTATTGAGCTCGACGATCCAAGGTGGTTGATCTTGACAATTTTCGTGCGGCTCCCTTGCAAGCATATAGGAAGCCCTTCGTTGACGCATATATCGTTCTGACTGGCTTTCACGAAACCCTGCGCCGTCTGAATAATTCAAGCCTCTTTTTTGGGGAAGATCCCACCAGTATATTCTAGATCCTAGGTCTTCTTCAGTCTGCCTGTGGCCATCGATGTGATCAAGGCAGACACGTGATCCTGCTGTATAGTTTGCCCTGGGGTTGCTGCTATACTTGGGAGCGAGCGCCCAGTCTCCGGGTCGATATAAGCTCGCATAGTCACATCCTCGGCTCCATCCGCAATATGAGCTATCTCTTGGGCGCAGTGAAGTTCAAGGCTTCCCACAGAGATACTATCAAATGGCAGCCAGTTTATTGACAAAAGGTGGTCGCTTAGGCTATTTGCGGGAAGAGAAGAGCCTGCGAGTCCAAGAGGAAGTCGTGCATCCCATTGGTCGACTTGCAATTCACCGTCTTTCTCCAGGTTGGGCACAGAAGAGACAATGGCGTTGATAATCTGCTGTTTCGTAGCTGCAGGTGAGTAATTTGCTGTAGCCTCCAACGCATCTTCCTTATCGGTCGATTGCCAAGGCGGCGCGGCATATTCACCGCTCGATAGGAGTTCCTGTTGCTGGACACTTGCCATTACTCGGCGTTGACGTCGTTTTCGAGGCTGATAAGAGCATGCCAATTGTCTCGCTAAGCAATATGTTCATGATGTTCCCCAGAACATTTAATACGATACATACCACCTGATTGAATCCTGTAACCCTAATGCAGACACCATGGTACCACCCTACATGACAAGCTGAAATCCATGTGTCCATACTTCAGCCTCTCGAATGTCTAGGCCGATATGGAGTTCTAGCAGTCGACTTGATGGCCTCAAGGCACTATTTTTGTCTTCGCCAAGGCTTCGCACCTCAGCTTGGATACAAGTCATATCGCTAAGGGCTGTTCTTTTCCGGCCACGGACGGCTTGCTAGCCGAGAGTTTGCAGCTGCGGTGATAAGCCAGAATTGTAATTTTTTTAGGCTCTTGGCAAAGTGGGATCCAGTCTTGGAGGAATCCCAGGCTGTTCCAATCAGTGTTTGATATCGTTCAGACAATGTTTGAGGTCGCCGCCTTTGCCTTTGGGTATGTGATATGCCTTTGGGTATGTGATATCTTATCGCAACCCGTATGAGTGCTCCTATGTGGACTGGCCCAGGCCAGATAGAACTAGTATTTGATCTAGCTACACAAACGCGGAATTAATCCTTCAATTAGCGAAGATTCCTGCCCCCAAGACAATATTTAAAAAGGCTGGCTGATTTCGGGCGTGCTCAAAGCTTAAGTGGGGTGTTGTAGCCTGAATGTGACTGGTCCCCTCACGAGACGCAAGCCCGACGCTTGGTCTACATCAAAGAATGCTTTTATGCAGTGTGACTGTTGAGTCGGCACCTGAGACATGCGGCTGCACATTTCGAAATGATAGGGCAGAGTCCGACACAGTCATATGCAGCTTTTCGCTGGTTTATATTCAGCTGCTGCAAGACACTGCATTAATCCGCTCTACGCTTTCAGCTACTGATAGAGAACGCCACCGGCGCCAAACTTAGCTCTAGCGGCATTTATCTAGACCCTACTCGGTACTGTCTGCATATTTTAACGTATGTATTGGTATCAGCTCGAAGAAATAGTTCCAAGACATGGCGAGGTTTCTGCAGCATCTTTCTTGATAGGGAAGAGATGACCGAGAGTGGCACTTTGACAGCAACTGCATCGTACGTTTCTCCATTCTTTGCTGTGAAGTGAGCGGCCGTCGCGTAGGTAGACTTGCATTAATGAGCATTGGACAGTCGAACCTTTTCTGAGTTCAAGGCGAAATATATAAGGGCAGTCTGGTCCTTAACTTAGTGATTTGTATCAACCTCTTTGCCATAAAAAACCGACAACTCTTCAAGAGAACTTACCCTGAAAAAAACAAATCATCGCCATCATGGACAATCTTAACAAAGCTCATGACGAGGGAGTTGTAATCGGTCTCCATGAAGTTTCCGGAGTACAAGAACGGCTCGACATCGACGTGATGTTGTTGACTCAGCCTGATACCTTCAACCTGTTTCTCATCGCACTGATGGAACTCCAGGGCAAAAAGGTAAACTGGGAAGTCGATGCTGGCTATTCCTTCACATCGAAGGAGATCATGTCTTGGTTCCAGATCGCGGGTAAGTCATTCATTCGCCTCCTTACGAATATCTGTTTGGCTGATCACTATCAGCCATACATGGGCTGCCAGCCGATGTGTGGAGTGGGGAAACGGAACGTGGAAAGAAACCCGACCAAACTATTGAGAATGGTGATGGTGGTTACTGTGCCCACGGCACCGCTACCTTCTCGCCCTGGCACCGGCCCTACCTTGCCATGCTTGAAGTAAGATAGCTAACGGACCTGCTTATTAAAGGCTTGCACTGACTCTTCTGGATATATAGCAAACTCTGTTCCGCCAAGTCGCCAATGTCGCTGAACGATTCTCTAGGTCTAAGAAAGTTTCGGAAGCAGATAAGAAAAAGTATACCGCTGCTGCCAAGAAGTTTCGGCTTCCGTACTGGGACTATTATCGTCCCAGAGACTACAACGTCACGATCCCAGGAGTTGTAGATGGAAACACGACAACGTCTCCGTATGACTATCATGCACCAAAGATCTTCACAGTGAAGAAAGTAATGGTCAAGGTTCTCCCTGACAACGAACTCAAAGCCATGGACAACCCGTTCTTTAACTACCAATTTGAGGCTGCAGACTCAAGTAGGATTCAGTGGGAGTTCTCTGATCTTGATGTGAGTTCACTGGTCACGAACAAAAAGTATCTTTCTCACTCACGTGCTGTAGACAACACTGGACCACGCCAAAGACTTCACCTTTCGTCACGGAGGATCCGACCCAGCCAATGCCGCATCCATGAATACAGTTCTCAACAAGATTCGCGAGGACGAGATGCGTTGCAGTCTCTCCATGATTGAGTCCGGAGTCTACAGTAACTTCCAAGCATTCTCAACCGATGGTGTCAACTTGGGCCAAAAGTTCAAGTATCTGAGAGACAAAAAGGAGATCCTCAGAACGAACACCGGATCAATCGAGGGTCTTCATAACGATTACCACGTGTTCATAGGTGGTTTCCAAGGAACCCGCGGTAACATCAAATCTACCAGTGGACATATGAGCTGCGTGCCTGTGGCGGCATTCGACCCTATCTTCTGGATCCATCATTGGTAAGTGATACCCAGTACGGCACAGCCAGCAGACCCAGTTACTTATACATGACTGTAGTCAAATCGATAGATTACTTGCAGTTTGGCAGGCTGCTAATGGTCAGGAGCACTGGTTTAACGAGTTGAAAGATGATGAAGAAAAGGCTAAGGCCGGTTTACCTCTGTACCCGTTCCGCAAGTGGCCTCTCACCGAGGACAAAGCAGAAAGGTACTGGACCCCTGATCGAGCGTGGAAGACCCAGGCCTTTGGATATGTCTATCCGGAAACAGTTGGGGAAAAGGCCCGAGATCAAGTCCGGGACGAATTTGCGCGAAAGTATGGCTGGAGCCGAAGACTCGATGTCAACCAAGACTTTGGGGCTCCCCCAGCAGATATGCTGCCTTTGGACCTTTCGAAAGCACAAGTCTTCGATTACCAGTCTGATGATTCTCCTCCAGAATTCTTCATACCTTTCATTCCGCCGAGCCTCCAGAAGAGGACTGAACAGGAAGTGCTGGCAGCAGCAACCCCAACCTCCAAGACCTCGCAAGAATGGTACATCGATGTTGTTGTCGAGAGGTTAGCATCCCTAAAGTCATCTGTTGAGAAGCATCGACTAACCAACAACAAGAATGGCAATGAATGGATCATACACCATCTTCTACATCATCGGTGACGTTGAAGGCGAGTCTGGTCTCGAGTGGTCTTCCCTTCCTGGCTTTGTGGGAGTTTCTCATATCTTCACCTCCCGCACTGAGACTTGCAACAACTGCGCACGCCAAGAGGAGGAAGTCCAGCTCGTTACCAGCACGACACCAATCACTTCTCTGTTACTTGACTATGCAAACTCTGGAAAATTAGGCAGCATGAGTCCCGAGGATGTTGAGCCATTCCTCGTCAAGAACTTGAAGTGGCGCGTTCAAACTGTGGGTACCTGTCATAACTACTTTTACGATACCATATGACTGACTCCTGATAACAGGTCGGTGGGGAAGTCATTGACCCTAGGGACCTGGACAGCAAACACACTATGAAGCTTGGTATCAGTCGCAAGACAGCGCCTATGCCTGGACAGACTGGTGATACTGACTACTCCTTCCACCCTCATGTCATTAAGAACATCATTGATAACGCATCTCCCAAGATGACGCCTTTGTCCGTCCAGTAAGGATAAAATGGACAATGTCAGCTTTGAACATTATTAACAGAATGGCTTATTTAAGAGTGGAGATTGCGTTATCTCTTGGCGAATAGTGTTACAATTTATTTAATCTGTGGAGAATCTGCAGGTTTACTATAGGTTTACTCTAGGTTAGGAGATAAATCGTATCAAAAACGATAGTCTATCTTTATTTCTTTAGCGCTCGCTTTGTATATATCTGTCTCCCCTAGTTCCGAGCGTTCCATACCAAAGCATCTCAAATCAACGTCAGCAAAGACCTCTCGAAGAGTAACAAATATTAAATTTATCATCATATGGGAGAGTCAGGCTAGCTATAATACCCACGATGTTTATGCTATGGAGGCTATTGTAATCGGCGTGACTGGCAGAGTTAAGCTAGAGAGCGGGTTGTTACCCTTAAATACATTTGTGAAAGCCGAGAATAGTGCCGTCGGGTTGGAAAAGTTCGTGAACCTTGCCCCAGCCGCCTTGTAGCTGGACAACTAACAGATTTGTCCTCCTTATTGCTTCAACATCTGCTGGTATAAGTTCTTCTGGCTTTGAGATAGTGTCATCTAGTCGCATTCTTTTATCAAAAAACGGACTGGGTGACAATGGGCTGCTATGCTGATAAGCTAAATGTGTGCGGTTTAGTAGGCCAGACGCAGCTAGAATATGCGCGGGGGGCACTGTCCTTCTCCCTTGCTTGCAGACAAATTGCGTGACAGCAGAAGCTAGCACGGCCCCTTTTGTGGTATCATATCGAGAGAACTGCCGGTATTTTTCACTTTCGTTTTTCCGGTTGTCAGCTCCTGACCTCAATATGTCTGGGGGCAACGCAGAAGTGCGACTTGACACAAAGTGAGTCACCATATAAATCCATTTATCATCCCAGCTCGCAATCCTCGTCCAAGTCTCATATGCTCGATAAGGCTTGATTTCCCTGCGGAATGAACAAGCCACAGCGCCGACAATTAGGTTGCATCGCTGGCCATTAAGGCCCTTTAGGAACAGTGGCCCGAAGAGAATACCGGAAAGATACGCTCGGGATACGTCGAGGTCGGTGAAGTAGGTAGAATTCGATTTATGGAGGTTAAAGTCACACTCCATTAGTGGTGATCGACTTGCAGATACTGCTGGAAGGAAAATGTGACTGGGTCGAAATAAAGGCTTTGCCTTGCGATGTACAAGCATCCCAGCTGCGAGAGCGCGAAAAAAACGGAACTACCAAGCTTCAGGTCAATTGGTTGAGATCAGTAAAGTCAAGTTCCACACTTACATGCCAAATCAAGGGCATATTCTTTAGGCCGAATATGAAAAGTAAACCTATTACCCATATCCATGGCCCCATGTTTTAGGTTTGGTGTTAACGCAGGTTTGAAGTTGGTCGAGGATTATCTTCGTGCATGAGACTTTACGAAAAAATAATAGAGTAGGTGCCAAGAGGTTTAAGATGTCAGCGATACAGTAAATACAAAAGATGTTTTTCTAATTTAAAGCGATGTTCGAGATATTCTCAACCCCCCCCGCTGTAGACGCCTCAACCTCGGCAAAGGATGACAGCGGTTCATAGTCGTATCACGCTCGAGAATCGCCGAGGCCAACGCCTGCGATACCCCACATCCAAGGCCTTTCGTACACGGGCACCCGAGGAGAAAGGTGAACAAGACGGAGCGTCGCCTTCAATATATTTTCCATAACACGTTAAGTATAGGTAAACAAGGGATCCTCGCATAAGGCAGACATTGAAAAGAGCTGAGCCTCGGTGATGCTTACCTCTATGGACAAATTGAAAGATGGAGGAACTTAGCAATTGCAGGCATTGCAAATGTAAACACACCAAGACCAGGCGGCACTTTGGAAGAGAACGGCAAAGATAAAACTATGTTGATGACTCATGCCGAAGCGGTTAATTCGTCAGAGTCGGACGGCGGGAATCACATGGCAATTGTCATTACTATTATGTGTCCAGATATTCCTGCAATATGCATGGTTGAAGCAAGTAGTCAAGCAAGCTAGTCAGTGATAGTAAAGCGTGCCAATCGAGAGCGAACCCATAAGTCAAGTCATTACATGACAGTCTCTTGGACTATTCAGACCCATTCCTGGCTTATCTTGGACCGGTACCTGTTCATACAGGACCATAAGAACGCCGTTGGACTTTGATCAGAATGTTTTTCAACCTATTTGTCGATCAGTGTGAAAGAGATTAAATGACTTAAGTCCTTTATGAGCTGCTTCCCCAAGGATCATTTCGATGCTGGAGACATCGTTTTGTGTCCCCTGAAAGCCTCTTGCAAGCGCTCCAAAGAATACGAATGATTGAGATTAGTTTGTCGCCATAACCACGAATGAACAACAAAATGATTAAGGAAGCCAAAAGTCGAGACGATGGTCAGCAAACAATGCACACTAGCCATAGAAAAGTTAAGTCGTCAAAATCTGAGGCCAATCTTTAAGGGAAGGAGCAAAAGTTGGTCCAAGATTCAAGCGCGCATCTAAAGGCAAGGAATATGCTACCCGAACAATGTACTTAACTACCATGCATAGAAATAACAGCATCAGGCAAAGCTTAATAGTATCTGAAACTTAAGAGAATACGACAAACAAAGCAAAGCAACTCTAACCTGCTCTCCCTTGCAGTCCTTCCGACCTTACAACATGCTCTTGGAAACTTCTTCATCGCCTGCCTCACTGCTAGATCGGATAAGATCTCCTCAGCACCACCCAGTATTGCATCAGACTTATAGGTTCGCTGAAAGTTCTCAACCCACCTTCCCATACTAGTTGTATCAAAGCGCGGCCGCCAAAAATATTCACTGCTTCATCGGCGACTTGGTAAAAGACTTGAGTAATGCTAAGTGGCCACCAAGATAAGTTGCTTGTTCCATGTATGACATTTTGACCATCTGCTCGGTGATCTGCTCTAACCATGCCTGCGCTGCCTCAACGCTCGCAATCATCTTGGCGACCTTGGACCGAATGGCGGGCTGGTCAACCAACCTGCGCTTGAAAACTATTCGTTGGTCGCACCATTTGAGACACTCCTCAACAATACCTCGGGTGCCTCGGATAGATCCGCAAATCATGGCAAAACGTTCATTGTTGAAGCTGCTCATAATCACGGTGAATCCCTGATGCTCCTCGCCAAACAGATGATCAATAGGAACTATAACCTTGTCAAATTGCACGTAAGCAGTACCCGCTGTAGCGGAGTAGGATATTTTGATAGTCTTCGTTGTAACGCCTTCATTCCTTTGGATAAGAAGAACAGAGAATCCTCTGCTTTTCTTGCACCCAGTGATAAAATAATCGGCAAATTGACCATTCGTGATCCATTTCTTGCCGCCGGATACGATGTAATGTTTGCCATCTGGAGTTTTCGTTGCAGTCGTCAGAATTCCAGTACCTTCACTACCAGCGAAGGCCTCGCTAATTGCTAGGCACAAATCTTCTTCCTCCCCGCTAGAGCTTCGTTGATAACACTCGTTCTGAGATCTCCATGAGGAAGCCAGTGTACCACCGCGGTAAGGCCAATGACAAGACCACCCAGCATTCCATCTGCGAAGCCTTATGCAACGATCCTAGCAAGTCCTTGTGACACGACCAGCTCGTGGAAAAAGTCAAAGTCCTTGCCCTGAATAACACTACCTAGGAGGGTACGTTTATAGAGATATTCCCCTAGGCCTAGACTTAGCTAGCCACTATAAGTTGAGACTCTTTCAGTGAAAGGGGCAACCCTGGTTAGGTCTAGAGGTACCCTGCATAGCATAACATAGGTAAGAAATAATATAGTATTAACAAGGGCATAGCAGGCATTAAGTAAAAGGGGATTTTAGTAAAAGGGTTAATTATAATTAGATAGATATTAATAGAATATAGTAAGCAGGAAGTTTAAATTAATAGGTAAATAAAGAAGAAAATAAAGGAGAGAAAAAAAAAAAAAGAAAGAAAGTTAAAATAAATATAATATATAAGAATATAAATATAAATTAAGGCTCCCTATTTTATTTATTATTCCTAGATTAATAAAAAAAATTATAACGGTTAGTTTCCAACTGTAGATAAACTAAGCCGTGCTAAGTTTATTGTTGGCAGATGGCATAGGGCGTGATGCTAAGCTTATCGAAGTGTCACGTCTCTTAATAGTAGATTCAATGCGTATTAGGCTTAATCAATATAAAGAAGTTTTATTAATAGCTGGTAAGATAAGTTCTATAGAAGTATAATAAATATAGTCTATATACTTAAGGTAGTCACGGAGTAACCTACGCAGTTACTACGTAATTCTAAGAATCACTGGTGTTTTTAAAGTAATTATCGTAACCGGATCTTGGCGGTTACGAATGGAATCTCTTAGTCTGTAATAACTATGCGTAATTAGTAAAAAATATAGGATACATATAACATAACCGCTAGGATTATAATATAATCTCTCCTCTCTCTTAGTCTCGCCCTTAAGACCTTGCTTACCCTAAGTGCGTTATTTCCTCCCTGCGTAAGTCCTAACTCATTCTTATAATTATTTCTCTTAATATGCTAATTATATCTTCTTCAGAAACTCAGCGTCATCTTGCCCAAGCAAAACTTATTGCATCTACAGGTTATAAAATTATGCCTTATTCTTTTTGCGCCGAGAATTATAAGAGGTATATAATAAAGGAAGGTTAGAAGAATTATTCTAAGTATACTCGTCAGGGCTGTTCTTATGACAGGAAGGGCGTTTCTTTGTCTGAAGGTTTATCGTGCCTTTTTTAGGTAAGTGTTTTCATCTTTACTAATTTTCTTTCTAGCCAATCGCTTAGTTCAGGAGAAGAACCAGATCAAGGCTAATAAGGAGGCTACCGAGGAAGAGCTTATTAACTTGCAAAAACAATTAAATAAGCATTTATCGAAGCTTATGCATCTTCGTCGTCAGAAGCACCTTATCCAGGCAAAGGGTTTATAGGCATTAGAAAAGGATTCCGCTGCAATAGATAATCATAAAAAGGCAGAGAACTTAGTTTCTAATTCCAATAGGATAGTTAAGTTAGTCGAGGCTGATGCAACTGATCTTATTAATTGGTCTATTATCTTTGACCCTTCTTTCGTTATAACTAGTGAAAACTTTTCAGAAGTCATTAGGCATTAACGAGGTATTTTAGTAGTTCCTATGTATTTTTGCTTTCTAGGTAGTTTTTCTACTTAATCAGGTATATTCTTTGTCTATTAATTATATCTGTTTTCCTAATTACTTCTACTTCGTAAATTTCTAATCCTATAATTTATCGTGGTTCATTGCCTATTTTGACTTATATAATATCTGCTGCTGATTCAAGTAATAAAACGTGAAAGACTGGATGGAGCCTAACTTTCAGTGGTAGGTCTAGTTTGTAGTTATTTTCTGAGATTTTCTGTAGTACTTTATAAGGTCTAATGAATTTATAGTCCAATTTATGTATCGGTTGATCTGTTTTAATGTTTTTTGTAGCTAGGTAGACCATATCTCCCTCCGAAAAGGTTAATCCCTTTAACCGTTTTAGATCATAGTAGTTTTTTATACGTTTTCTAATAAATTCGAGTTTTATTTTTATTTCTTCGTGTAGATTTTTAAGGTCATCACTTTTAATTATAGCGGCTAGGTTAATTAATTTCTCTTATCATGCATCATAGTATGCATTTGGTGTAAATCCGAAGTTAGCATAAGCTGGTATAAGCTTTATACTTTCATTATAAGCGGTGTTATAAGCAAGTTAAGCTATTAGTAGTTTCTCAACCTAATCGTTCTGTTCATAGTTAATATAACACCATAGGTATTATTCAAGTACTTAATTCATTTATTTAGTTTATCTATCAACTTGCAGTTAAAACGCTATCATAAGTCAGTAGTTCAATCCAAGTCATGCCATAAGTAATTACCAAAATGTTACTGCAAATATAGGTCCTCTATCCAAAAGGATTTCTATAGGTAACCCATATACGCTAACAATATATCGGTAAAAAACATAAGAAAGTTCTTCTGCATCTATTACTTCTCTATAGGGTAGATAGTAGGAAAATTTCATAAATCAATCTATAATAACCATAATGCTATCGTAGAAGATTCCGGTTAAGGGTTCTTCTAATAAGGGTAACTTCGTGATAAAGTCCATTATGATTAAGTCCCAAGGTCATTATACTACCGGTAGTAGTTATAGTTATCCATATAGTTTATATCTCTAGGCTTTTATTCTTACACAGAGGTCACATTATTTAATAACATCTTCTGTGTCCCTTTTTATGAACTTATATCCTTGGTCTTATAGTTATTTCACTATTTTCTTAACACCTTAGTATCTATATAGCAGATATGAATAAAAGTCGCAAAGGAAGTCGCATTCTTCATCTAACAGGAATTTTATTCCTTTTGTTATTCTTGCAATTATTTTAACAGGTTAAGTAAACTGGTATTCTTCTTTAGGGTTAAATTCTAGGAGTTATTCTTTTGTTTTTATAGTCCCTGTATCAAAGTCGGGTCATCGACTAATAGCATCTACGCATCCATTATCTATGCCTTTATAGTATGCTATAGTAAAATCGAATTCACATAGGTATTCTGCATAGCATAGTTATCATCGGTTTAGCTCTTGCGTTATTACAAAGTAAGCTATATTCTTATAATCAGTAAAGACTTTCACTAGGTACTTACTTCCTCTAAGGTAGTATCTAAACTCCTTGAAGCAGTTAACAATAACTAGGAATTCTTTATCATAGATGGGGTAGTTAAGTTCTGCTCTGTGCATCTTATAAGAATAGAAAGCAATAGGGTGTAATACACCGTGGTCATCTTATTATCCTATTTATCCTCCTAAGGCAAAGTCAGAAGCATTAGTCTCAAGTTCAACTTACCGGTCAGGATCAAATATAACTAGAATAGGTTCATTTATAATAGCTGACTTAAGCTGTTTAAAAGCTCGTTATGCCTTATCATTCCATTAGAATTATTTATCCTTTTTAGTAATCTCTATAAGAGGGATAGTAATTCTGCTAAAGCCTTTAATAAATCTTCGGTAGTAGTTGGCAAATCCTAGGAAGGATTAGGTTTCTTTTACCGATATAGGTAGTTTCTATTCAGCAACTGCTATAATCTTTCATCTATCCATTCTAATTTCATTATATAAGATTTCATATCCTAAATATATTACTTAAGACTAATAGAAGTGACTTTTAGTGGGTTTAACGAGCATATTGGCATCTTATAGTGCTTTAAGAACCTTGTGGATGTGTTCTGTATGCTCTTCTTCTATATTAGAGAAGATAAGGATATTATCCAGGTAGTAAACTATAAAGATATTAAGATATTCTCGAAGTACGTTTATAATTATATATTAGAATACTGCAGGTATATTAGTTAATCTAAAAGGCATAACCAGGTATTCGAATAATCTGTATTTCATTTAGAAGGCTATCTTCTATTCGTTGCCTTCTTTAATTTAAATAAGATTATATGCGGATTTAAGATTAAGTGCTATAAACCATTTCTTGCCAAATAGGCGGTCCTTGAGTTCAGTAATAAGCGGTAATGGTGTTTTATCTTTATTTATGATCTTATTAAGTTATCAGTAATCCACTATAAGTCTTAGTTTATTAGAGTTAGGTTTTAGTATAAACATAACCGGGTATCCTACTAAGGATTTCAATGATTTAATATATCCTTTCTGTAGCATATCATTTAACCATTCTCTAAGTATATTAAGCTCATCTTAAGATAGGTTATAAATAGGGAAGAATTTCAGGTTCTTTCTATCTTTTAGTATAATTTCGATATCGTAATCTGTATATTAGGGTAACTTTGTATTAAGTTCTTCTTAAAATAGTTTTTTATAAATACAATACTCCGGTAATATATTCTTAAGTTATTCATTAGATTCCTTTATAGCAATCTATTTTATCTATTTAATATCTTAGTCTAATTGTCTAAATTATCCTTTAAGAGTTGCTATTATTTATCTAATGCGTTTCATTCTGCCTTTATAGTGCTTATATTATGTTCCTTTTGGAATAGGCGATACTCTATCGCGCCTATCTTCGCTGCTCTTATTAGTCGAAGTTTAAGATCTCATGTTATCATTATCTAAATCAAACTTATTATCTAAAGGGTAATCTTTGCAGTTTACCTATCAACCATTCAGCTACGACTTTGCATGCTAGGTCGTAGAAAATGCCATAGAAAAAAAAA